CAACTGACCCTTCAGCTGGCATGGCTTTGTACACTGCACCGGCTAAACTTTAAGAGAATTTATAGTTGGCTGCCAAGTCGTGAGTCGCATTGATGGCTGACTGTGGCTACCATTCATCAAATATAAACGTGGTAGCTCAATGTACAAATACAAATTCGTAGTTAATGACTAGCAAAAATATCGACACAAGCGGCTGGCATGGCTTGTACATTGCACCGGCTAAATTTTTCAGAGATTTTATTTATTAATTGGTTGCCAAGTGACTACGGTACTGCAACCCGTCGTCTCATCCGAAAAATATCAGTGTCGTCAAAGCTTTGAATCTGGATTTTGTTTATTCAATTCTTATTTCTCGTTATTATCGGTGACGTCTTTTATCGCTTCGTTTCATTCAAGACAAAATCGTTGTAATTATTCTAAAATAATGATTGATTGATAGATTGATTGATTGATTGATAGATTGATAGATAGATAGATAGATAGATAGATAGATTGATTGATTGATTGATTGATTGATTGATTGATTGATTGATTGATTGATTGATTGATTGATTGATTGATTGATTGATTGATTGATTGATTGATTGATTGATTGATTGATTGATTGATTGATTGATTGATTGATTGATTGATTGATTGATTGATTGATTGATTGATTGATTGATTGATTGATTGATTGATTGATTGATTGATTGATTGATTGATTGATTGATTGATTGATTGATTGATTGATCGTTTGATCGATTGATTGATTGATCGTTTAACGGTGATGCAGTACGGCTATCGGCAATCTTCTCGCCACTGGAATTTTGTGTTTCGCCTCTCATATGTTTGTTAATGATGTTTTTACTGTCGGTGTTTTTATCAAAATAATGACGATGCATAATGAACGCAGACTTAGTAGACAGTTTATTCATATAATTAGAATATTTTATATTATAATTAGAGTTTAATCATCTACAGCTGAATTGTTTGTTTGGTCTATGTAAACAGATGGTCCCGCCTTTTCGTAATTCAGATTTACACCTGGGCTATGATTGTTCTGTAGTTGTAATGTAATTATCGAATCTAACTTTTAATGTAATTTAGTGTAATCTGCTATATTGTGAAGTGATGTTACTTAATGTGGTAAAAGTAAAGAAATCAATTCAAAATTTGAATTTTTACATTAATTTGAATTTCAAATTATTATGTAATTATAATATAATGTAAATAAAATCTTTATTTTTTTCTAGTTTAATAAGATAAGCCAGTTGACTCAAGATTTCTCAATTTCTGTTTTTAATTCAAAATTTAAATTTACGAATCATGCCTTCTTGTTAGAAAAGTGCCTTAATTTTATTTTAAATAATTCTTAAAAAACCCATTCATAATTAAATTAATTAAAATTTCAATCAGTTTACTTTACTTACAACACTTTACTTTGCAGCACCTTACAGATCATATTTCTTTTTGTTGATTTTTTAAATTAAGTTCAATAAAATTTATAAATTAAAATCCAGTCTATTAATTAATTTAATACTTAATAGATTTCAATAAAATTATTTAAATTAAAATTATTAATCTGAATAATAAAATAAAATTAGAAATGAACCAAAAAATTATATTATCATCTCATCTGCCATATTGGCATATTTTATCTTATAATTAAAAATTAATAATTGAAGTATTTTATTTTATGTTTTCTAAACTGTGTGTTTTGTGTGAAACTGAAGGGACTTTTACATACTTACAAAACAGAATCAATCAAACTGAAATTCAAATAAAACAAAAGTAGAAATTTTTTTAAAATGGCGGACAACTCAGTCGAGGATAGTGAGATGTGTGGCAGGCTGACAGCAGAAGAAATGGACATCATGAGGAAAGAGAATGTAGCCTATGAATATCTCTGCAGACTGGAGGAAGCCAAAGTGTCGGCTATATTTTTCTAAATTTAATCAAATTTTTTTTATTTTATAAGTATTTATTCTTTTAATCTAATTTTTGATATTTTAATTTGATTATTTATTTTTTAATTCATAATGTTTTAATTTAAGTATTTAATTTCAATTTAATTAAGTAAATGTTTATGATGCTCACAAACAGATTAATTAAATTAAATCAACCCATAAAATCCTACTCCTATTGCTCATATTTATGATGGTGTTATTTTTCATTTCAACTATCAAACTTTTTCAATCACTCATGGGTGCAAATAATTCACCATAACTTGACAGCTGGATCGAGGCCTGCATCAAGGAAGAGATCCCACCGAGTGTTGAGTTGGAGGAGAACCTGAGGAATGGAGTCGTGCTTGCAAAGTTGGCTCACTTCATCTCGCCTGATCGAATTCCCTTCAAAAAAATTTACGATCTCGATCTCTCCAAATATCAAGTTGGTTGAAATGTTGTCCTTCTATGTTTGTTTGCTTTTGTGATCTGCTTCTCCTTCAGTGCTATCTGGATGTTATCAGGCAGGCATGATTGGTTGATATTTATCATTGTTGTAGACTTGCTCAGACTAAAATTGAATTATGTAGAAAGCCCTAAAGCTTAAAACGTAATTCATCACAAGCACAACAATACAATTAAAACGCTGTTGAAATAAATTGTAATAAAATTGAAATATGACCTCAGTACAACACAGAACTGCAACTGCATAGTTGATAAACAACTGCAGAACCAACTACAGTGCAATACAATCCAAGTCCAGTTCACTTCTTTGGAATATAATACAATGCTCTTCAAATACAATATTTAAACAATGCAGAGTCGAGGCCTGCACTTTCGTCACACTGACAACATCAACCATTGGATCAAATCCATGAAAGAGATAGGCCTGCCTGAGGTTTGTAGCACGGTTCATTACTGACTGCAGTTGTTTATATTTTTCTTTCTGTTAATTTATTTTTTAACCTGTTTCATTGAAATTAAACTTGCTGTTACATCAAGTATTGTTATTGTCACAATTGGATTCCATCTATTTATATATAGACCAAGTGTTAAAATAATTAATTTTGTTCTGAGCTACTTCTGATTGAAAGGAGTGAGCTGAAATGAAAAAATGAATAAGTAAACAAATGAATGAATGAATAGATGAACAACAATGATTGTCTTTTATTTAATCCATATTGTACACAAATACTGGCAAAAGCATGCTAGCAATAAAGTATTTGTTAGTTGTTTATATTTCAGATAAGATATTTGCATATATATTTTATATGTTTTCTACAATGCTGTGCAAATTAATAAAAATAATAATATTGCTGAAGTTAGTCAATGTGCTCAAGTGTAATATATACACTCAACTGCTCATGATAAAAATTATAAATTATACATGAACACAGTTAAGCAGAACTATTGGAACTTTGGGTGCATCAATATGCCTTTCTTGAAATTCCATCCTAGGATGCCTTCAATGAGCTAAAAAGGATGGTAGCCAGTTGAACGCCTGACCTTGGCAAATAATGAAGCTCTCTAACATGTTATCTAGGTAAGCATGTCCTAGTCCATGCATCAAACACTGCATTCTGATCAAGCCAAGCTTGTTTGATGGAACACTTTTCTGCTTCAAGCATCTGTCATATTAGTTGTTTGCATTTGTCAAGTAAAATGAAGAGTACATTTCTTTTTTGTTGGCATGTAATGATCTCTCTCTCTCTCTCTCTCTCTCTCTCTCTCTCTCTCTCTCTCTCATTATAAGTTGTTGTTTGCTTTGATTGTTTTTAAATCCAATTATTTACTTTTCAAATTTATTCTATGACTGTTCATGAATAATAATATTGTTCTACCAAAAAGATAATAATGATGATGATGATGATGAGTTGTGTTAGTGATGGAATGATAAAAAAGTTTGAATACGATTAGTGCATGTTATAGTAGTGATAAAACGAATGTATAAACAAACAAACAAACAAACAAATGAATGAATGAATGAATGATTGCTTAATATAACATTAATAAACACAGAAGCTCACTAATGAGTTGAAGAAATTTAAAATTTTGAACTTGTATAAATGAGCTGCATTATTTAAATATTTTAACCGGCTGAAGCGAGAGAAGCTCATTGTTAGCTTATATGAAGCTGTTCACCGTACATGAAACTTAAAATTCTTTGCTGCTTAACTTGGTTTTAAAACCATGACTAACATCTCCCATACCTTATGACTAACAAACTATTTCATCTACTTTTTCAGAATTACATTTTGCGATAGCAATTGACATTACGATAATACACTCTACACACGCACACACATATACAAATACAGATACACTGTAATGACTGTAGATGTGTAGAGAAGTGTTCAAATAAAAAATTCAGTCCAAATTAGATTTACATTTGTTATAATTTAGGTAGTTTACTGCATAGCCAAGCCATCACATTTAATGTTGAGTTATTATCAGAGTTCTACAGGGTCAACACTCTGCTTAGATTCTAAACAAATCATTCCTAAGCTCTGTATAATGCTTCTAAATTATAATTATGGCTATGCATCTGTATGTGTGTGTGCGCGTGCGTGTGTGTGCGTGCAGAGTGGTGTGTTGATGTTAGCAAATGTGCATAATGTAATGTTCAGTATTTCATTTATTGGACATGTCACAATTATTCTCGTATTCCTTGATACTGATATTCAGACAGCATTCATGAATTTTTTCATGCATGTTTTCACACTTCTGAATCAAATACCAGAGTGTATTAAATTTCCATATGAAGTAGTGTGATTTATTTAAGGAATCTATTTTGTTTTAATCATCTTATGTTCCTAGAACGTTGACACTTGAATTTTATAACTTAATTGATATTTTATTATTTTTTACCTTCGCAATAAACTCATCAAGAAATTGTAAAAAATTTAATAATGAAAGGTTTTTTTTCACAGGTTTGATGCATCTCTTTATTTGCTATAACCTTTAATTAAGGGACTTTACTTAATTGCTTGTTCGTTTATTGATGATAGGTTTACTAAAAGTTCTTCTGTGTTGACTTTAGCAAATGAGTTTATACCGGTTACTGTCTATCTTAACTTATTTAAATCCGCAGCTTATCACACAAACTATGTACATTCATGTTCTATTGGTTATAACATGCAAGGTATTGTAAAAATTATCCTACCAAAATTTGAATTCTTAAAAAAGATTATGAATTGTTACTATTGCTGTTACTTAATGTTACCTGATGTATTGATTTAGCCTGCTGTTATTATTTTGAATAAAACAATTGAAACATCGTCCAATCATGTGCCATTTAATCATTTTCTGACCCGAAACTTGGTGGCGCCTATATATTTTATTATCTCTTTCACTAAAGATTTATTTATAGCTTCCTGGTTACATAAATTTTTAAAGAACTTTTTTTAAAATATAATCTACTATTTTGATGAATTTTTAAAATGAATTAATCTTGGCTACTATAACATAAATATTGATGATGATGATGATGATGATGATGATGATGACGATGATGATGATCATTATTATTATATTACATTTTATTAAACTTTTTTTATCATTTGATTTGTTTTTTTAGTTAAAAATAAAAACATTTAAAAATAGAATGTTTATATTATTATTATTATTGTTGTTGTTGTTGTGGTTGTTATTATTATTATTTATGGTCCTTGTTTATGCACTCACATCTGGTAATCCTTACTATGTGACATGTGAAAATATCATTCTTGTCATTGCTGCCTTTACATATTGTGATTTTTTTTAATAGATGCCTATTTCCAATTTTCCCAGCATCATTCTCTTCTCCAGTTGTCTTACTTGCAAGTCATTTCATCATTAACACTTTGTGTGTTTGTTAATCTTAAATGTGTGATATCAATTTGGTTCTGGCCATTAACCAAAACTACAGCTTGATAATGAATTATTATTATTTCATTTTTCTAGCATCTAGCACGTTAAAGCGCTTGTGTCTTCTTTTTTTTTTTAATTTTTTTTTACTGCAAAGTAATTTTTTTATGAATATGGCTTTTAAAAGATTCAACTTAAAATGTTTCAATTAATAGATTTATGATTTGTTGACTTTTAAAGTGGTAAATTTTGATTAAGTAGTCAAATTTGCGTGATGGCATTACATTCTGGTTAATTTCATCGTCATCCATCCATCTTATCACAATCAAAAATTAATTTACAGAACTTCTACCCTGAGACCACAGATATCTACGACAGAAAGAACATCCCTCGACTTATATACTGCCTGCACGCACTCAGGTACTTGAAGCATTATTATATTTCCTAATTGAAAATGGCAAATATGTGGTTCTGCTGGTGTCACAGATTAAAAAAATGAATAATTAAAATTTCATATCTGTTTTTTAAATTAAAATCTCCGTATTTTGCTACAAATGCTTTATAACGTTATCAACTAACACAATAATAATAAAATAAATTTTCAGCTTTATTCATCATCTTTCGACTTATTCATCCATTATAATGGTGAACAAATCATTTTTGTAGTAATGAAACATGGTGTCAAGAAAACTTAGATATAGTTGTAACTCCTGACCTCTTAACTACCAACCTCGATGATATAGCTTCAATAATCTCTATATCCCCAACACCGTGTTGTAGCTTCCAACCATAGTCAAGAGTTCCTTTATCCGTAGGTTCAAGATTTCCAATAGATGAACACAACTACCAACATCAATATGAACAATACACTAGTCCAAATAACTACATAAATCACATTTATGACTTTCTCTTTGCTTGTAACTTTAACATAAAAATATTGTTAACGTGATGATAACGTTTATACCATTTAATATACCATTTAAACGAATTTATCATTCAAGAGAATTTATTTTTTTGAGAAAAAAATGCCTTTTCAAAAGGCTACAGAATATAAGTATATTGGTTAATTGTTGTAGCACAGCAGTAGTGTTTGTGTATTGCTGTTTATGTGGGAGATTTTTACAGTTTGAGGTGTTTTTTTTTAAATTGAATGAACGAAGTTAGAGCCAACTGCAGAATTTCAATTATATTTCAACGTTGTCAGTCACATTTCAGATAAGAAAGTCGTTTATTTTTGTTAATCATTAATTTGTAACTCGTTTATATTTATTCATTTTGAAGAATGCAATTTTGGGTGATGACATCACATGGAAAGTTTTTTTAACATTTATAAGGTGGATGATGAGATTCTCCATCACTTAAATATTTTTATCATTTTTAAATATTTTTTTTCTTGAAAATGACATGAGGAATCATTATTTTTTATAACTGCCTGTATAAATTTAATCACTTTTCTTTTTTATAACTGCCAGTATAAGTTTAATCATTTATAAATGTTTAACCAATTTGTCATTTATGAAAATTTAACTAATACCTTGTGACAATAAAACTGTATGTATGTATGTGTATAAATGTTACATGTATATATATATATAATATGTGTATTCGTGCGTGTGCGTGTACAGGCAGTAATACAAGACTAAGCCTCTGAATAAGCATTCATTCATTCAGTTATTTATCTATTTATTTACTTGTTCAGATTTTTATAAAGTTTTTCTCTTACTGAGATATTTTGTTTAAACATGTTTGAACGTATTTGTTTTCATATTTTTTTTCTACCTAGTTTCTTATATATGATTCATATCCCACTTAATAATTTTCTATTTCTCTTCTATCTTCATCTCTCTGGCCCGAAATTTTTAATAAAATAAATATTCTCTTTTTTGAGTTGTTAAGTTAGCTACATAGTTGAACCAATTGCTGGACATTTCACCAGTCATGTCCAACACTAAATGAAAGAATTCTTAAATAAATGTTATTAAATTGATTTAGACATTGTGATTCTTTTTTTGCGCTTTCTAGATTTTCATATCCACAAACTAGAACGACAAATATTTTTTTAATTTTATGTACGTGTTTTTAATGTTAATGCAACTATCTAAATGAAATTGAATGAATGAATTGTTGGATGAATGAATAAAAATGATTGAGTGAATAAATAAATGAATGAGTGAATGAATGAGTGAGTACGTGATTGAATGAATGAATGAATTAATTAATTAATTTAATTAATGTTGACAAATTAAATTTAAATGTGATATTTTTTGGCTTTGCAGTTTATACATGTTCAAGATTGGCAGGGCTCCACAAATACAAGATTTGTATGGGAAAATTCAATTTACAGGTTTTTACAAGATAATAGTAGTAATAATAATAATAATAATAACGTTGATGGTAATGGTTATGATGGTAGTAATAAGTTATTATGAGATATTTAATAACCACAGTTATTTTTTGCAATCTGTATTCTTTGCAGCTATTTTTACTTATGCTAATAATTTTTGTTGTATCCCTGAGTTATGCATAACATAAAAAAAATTGTTTCACGGGTTTCATCATCTTGCCATCATATAAGCGACATAAACACCAATGTTTTTACCATTAACATTACTGGATATCATAGAAGTAAACTAACATTAAAGTAGATAGAGTATCTTGATAAGACATTTTTTCATAAGAACATCAGTAAACTCTGTTTGGTAACGAGCGTGGAATAGCAACACTGGTGATAAAAATCGTTTGATGATAACTTGCCGAAATGTATGTATGTAAACTGTAGCATAATTATGCAGATGAGGAGATCAGTAACATGAGGAAGGAGCTGGACAAGTATGGCATCTCCATGCCTGCTTTCTCCAAGATAGGTGGAATACTGGCCAATGAGGTGGTGCTATTAACTTGTTTGTTTGTGTGGTTGTTTGTTTGTGTAATTGTTTGTGTAATTGTTTGTTTACGTTTCATATTGATGTTGTTTTTAGCATAAATTTTTTTCCATATTCATTAGGGGAATTTTCATTCTCATCATAAGTAGCTAGTTTCAAGTTATTCTTATCAATCAGAAAACATCAATTTTCTGCATGTTTTAATGTTGCTTGGCTTGAATTCAACATGTAATCTCTACACCATATCCATGTTGAAAACATTTACCAAATTCCTCTTAATTATTTTTGCTAGGAATTATTTCGTTTTAGCTTATAAATTATTCGGCACATAATTTTTTTGATGTGATTAAAATGTTTTTAAAGGTTTGATAAATAACATTCTATGAGATTTCAGAGTTTGGTTTGAGAGAAAAATTTTCACAAATTCTTTTTTCAACAAACAGTTGAATGTGAAATTAATAAAAGTATGATAAAGATTTAATGTGAATTTAATTTAAATCAATGCAAAACGTTTTGTAAAATGTAAGATTAGATGTTTGTGAATTATATATAGTACATATGTCAACAACGTATATAAAAACATAATATATAGTATGTCATTAAGTTGTTTTTCATTTTTTTTTATTGTCAGTTTCTTTCAATTTATTAATTTTTTTCCAGATGCCAGTTGATGAAGCTGCATGTAAGTTCTCATCTCATTTTTATCTTAATCATTCATCAACCTTGTGTTATTAAGATGCTTCAAATAATATAAACTAACAAACGGTTAATAAAATTCACTGATTAATATCCTCAACGTCGTCGTAGTACTCTTCCTCATCTTTCATCATTGCACCATCATCTTCCAACATCATTCACCATCGTCTTTCAACATCAATCACTATCATCTTTCAACATCATTCACCATCATCTTTCAACACCATTCACCATCTTTCACCATCATCTTTCAACATCATTCACCATCATCTTTCAACATCATTCACCATTTTTCAACATCATCGTCAACATCATTACACCATCATCTTTCACCATCATTCACCATCATCTTTCAACATCATTCACCATCTTTCACCATCATCTTTCAACATCATTCACCATCATCTTTCAACATCATTCACCATTTTTCAACATCATCGTCAACATCATTACACCATCATCTTTCAACATCATTCACCATCATCTTTCAACATCATTCACCATTTTTCAACATCATCGTCAACATCATTACACCATCATCTTTCACCATCATTCACCATCATCTTTCAACATCATTCACCATCTTTCACCATCATCTTTCAACATCATTCACCATCATCTTTCAACATCATTCACCATTTTTCAACATCATCGTCAACATCATTACACCATCATCTTTCAACATCATTCACCATCATCTTTCAACATCATTCACCATCATCTTTCAACATCATTACAGCATCATCGTCATCATCTTTGCACCATCATCATCATCGTCGTCACCATCACCGTGAACAGTGCACGCAGCAGTGATAGCCATCAACTCAGCCATCGACAAAGAGGACCCACACCTGACTTTGGAAGCCCTCCAGAACCCATCTGCCCACATCATGAACATCAATGGGCAGCTCGCTGACAACTACCAACAACTACTTTATGATGCTAAGTTTGTGAAAGCTGAGAATGCAAGGAATAAGGTTGGGTGTTGCAATGGAATCTCGTGATGTTTGCCTGTGTGTTTGCGTGTGTGTGTGTGTGTGTGTGTGTGTGTTTGTGCGTTATGTAAAATACAGCGTTATAAATTGTTTCTGATTGACAGTTTCATAAAATGTTGAAAGATTTAGTTTTTTTTAACTTTTTAATATGAGCATATTCAACTTGTACCGACACAAACAAACAAACGAATGACCAAACACACAAACAAACAACAAACAGTCACTGAACATAGACAATGTGCCGGATGTATATGACGAACTCCTCACACAAGCCGAAATTCAAGGAAACATTAATATGGCAAACAGTCAGTTCACCCAAACAACCGACCAATTACTTATTCAAAATTTCATGTTCATTCAATTGTGCTATCTTTCATCTTTTAAAAGTTACAACTATCTACATTGCTTTTTCAACATTACGCACTGCTAGATTAAATATTTTAACTCTTCGTATCCAATTTCACTTAACCAGCAGTGCATTTCTCAGCATCTCACCTAGCTACATATTTTTTCCAGACACCTACCATCTCTCCATCATAAATGAGATGATCAGCAGGGAAGATAGTGCCGGTCTGGTGAGGGCGTTGAAATCTTCAAACTTGAACTTCAGAGATGTTGATGAAACAAGAGGGGATTGTTATCTTTTTAAATTTATAGAAATCAGAGTAATTCAATTTTATTATTATTATTTTTAGCACCATTTTGATTATTAAATTGGCTTGCACCACTAAATTCGTGTTTTTATTATTGCTGCTCTTGATCAATTAAATTTTTAATGTTTTTTACGTACGTTTTGTAATCTGACCATCAGCCTGAGTAAGAGAAGTACATGCTACAGAGTAAACTAGCGACCCAGTGAATTTAAGAATAAAAATTTTATTCTTATTACCATACATATTAATTGTTAATTTTAAAATATATCTAGATTACATGTTACATTGTATGCTTCGTAAATTGTGACCTAAACATTACATCCACATTACATCGTCACTGCAGGAAGCAGGCAAGGGGGATGACTTTCTGACGAAGGATCAGCTACAGCAGGGCATACTGAGGACCAATGAAGAGTTCAATGACATGCTACTTGGTTGGTCACTCAGTGGTGTTTGTTCTCAATAGACTTATTGATTTAGTTTCTTTTTAAATTGTTTCTAAATTTAATATTTCTTGTTTGAGATGTTTAAGGACGAGTGTATATTATTGCATTATTGAATCGTTTTTTTATACGACTGTCTCATGGTCCGTCGTACTATGATGTACTGAATGTAAAGGATAAAAATTTATTTCCTTAATTAGGTTATTGAATAATTTTTTTACCTCATTCACTATCATGGTTTATAGGTCATGCTTAGTTAATCAACACATAGACAATTCTTTCATCACAATGTACAATTTAGCATATCTATCAAGGTCACCATGATATGACCACTGATAATAAAAACGACAATAAACTGATTGCAACAACAGCGTCAATAATAACAACCACATTGAATATGACAACAGTTAAGGAGAGTCTGAGGAAGATAAATGAAGTCCTCGAGGGTAATGATTACGACGCTACTCTGCAGCTGCTTCAACAACCGAAACTTCGACTGCCCACTGAATATCCAACTGCCAAGTGCCTCTACCACGAAGAACTCAAGTGCATGAAACATGAAAAACAGGTGATGATGATGATGATGATGATGATGATGATGTGGTTGTAATGATGTTGACCGTTTAGATGGTAATCATTTTAATCATTATTCTTGAAGACGATGATGATGACAACGAATGTAGTAATGATGTTGATTCTAATTACATTACGTTTCACATTGAACGTCAGATTACATTGATTACATTAAACCCATTACATTAAACGTTACATTAAAATTGATCTACGCTTTGCAGAGTGACTTGGATCAGGATGACATCATCAAAGGAATGAGAAGTTAGTGTTTGCTCTGTCATCACCATCTTTCTGTCATTATGTTAAAACATTATGTTAAAAAAGTGTGAACTTATTACCTCAGTTTTTATTACGTTTTATTATATTATTTTATTATGTTTTATTACATTATATTATAGTTAATATTACATTTTGATAAATTCTCGTACGTTTTTATTTTTGCATGATAACTATTACATGGCTCTTTTGCATTTTGTGTTTTTAGTTTTGAATGCCATTGCCAAGGTCAATGAAACAGTTGACTCAAACGATCCTCGCGGCTTATTGGATGCTTTAAATTTTGAACACGCCCACATTAGTGACGTAGACGCTGACCTGATTGATAAGTATCTGAAATATTTGAAGAAACTTAAGCAGAGCAGATCAAAGGTCAGTTTGTGATTGGCTGTTAGAAAAATTTTTCGTTAACTCGTTTGAAATATTAACAATGATTCAACTGGTTGATGGACGTTTCTCATTTGTCAAACTTTTTGCTTGTTCAAAATATTTTAATTGATTTGTCTCTGTAATTGTTTGTTAGTTGGGTTGATCAATTTATTTCTTTCATCACCATTCTAGTGTGTCTGTAGTTGTGATTTCAATGAATTCATTGGTCTTTTAAAAGATATAATATGACTTAATCAAATTAATGGGCGGACTGGATCAAGAGATCAAACAACAACTAATCTGGTTGAACCTGAAAATTCTTGTTTCTTTTTGCCTGTTTGTAGAATTGAAGAATGATTGGTCACAATGAATACAGCAGAATGGTTGATTAATTTGGTAAACTTGTTCGTTCATTGAATGCATGTTTAAGAGAGGTCACATCAGTTAGGCTGAAATACTTTGCCTCAACTGAAAAGTTGAATTTAGGAAAAAATTTATTTGATGTCTTATAATTATATTAAATGGTTCAATATGATTATTTTATATGTATATAAGTTTACTTGATTGGTTTGCTGTAAAATAAGTTGTATAAAGTAAGTTTAAACTTTTATGTCTTAAGATCACATCTAATAAAAGTCGAAAAATGAAGATATATTAAATAAATTTTAATTTTCAGTCAACTTTTGACCTGTTGACCCACCACGACATTGTGAAGTGCATCAATGACATCAACTACAGGTCGGCCATTGAACATGAACGTAAGTGAAATTGCTGTGGGCTGGTTGGTTGATGTCAGAACATAGCTTATGTGCTTTTTCTTTCAAGAACGGTTTTCTTTTGACTAGAATCTATTTTTCGTGATAATTCATCTTTACAAAATAAGCCACATAAGGTGTTCATCGTTAATTTTATTCAGAAGTAAACTTTAATCGAACGTGAATCTATTTGACAAGCCACAAACCATCTACATACCGGCACTTCCCTTTCCAAACCAACCAGGTATCGAAGCAGTGGCTCGGATAAATGAGATGATAGACAGAAATGATGTCCACCTCCTTCTCAGCTGCTTGCAAGCCTCTAACGCCGGCATCAAGAACGTTCATGAAGATGGTGTTGTGCACTACATGCAGCTGCTCAAAATTGCCAAACAGAAGAAGGCTGAAGTAATTTTTCAGTTTTTGTTTTTTTATTTTTCATTATTTTTTACAAGATATCTTTCTTGTCTAATAATAATAAGTCATCCTGCTCTGAATGGTCTTTGTTTAATAGTTAAACAAGTTTTTTGAAGATTTTATGAACAACTGAATCAACAACAACAACAACAAACGTTTAAACGGCATTTTCCCCGAGATCGGGGGTTGCCGTTTGGCTACCTATGATGAAACCGAAATACCCCTCGACTCCATCCACATCTGTCAATCGCCTCAGTATCACGCAACCACGCTTTCACCCTGTCCTTCTCCACCTGCTCTCTCCATCCCAATCGCGGACGACCCCTTCCTACCACTCCTTCAACCTCGAACTTCAACGCTCGCCTAATCCCGACCCTTTCATCCCTTCTCAACACATGTCACAATGTCCTCATTCAGTCCCATCATTGACATCAGCTTTGTACTACTCCTCCTATCCTTCACTTTAACCCCACACATTATCCTCACCATAGCTCTTTCAGCCCTTTGCAGTACACTTTCCTCCTCTCTCCTCAACACCCAAGTTTCACCACCATATACCATCGCTGCTCTCACACATGCTTTATATACCCTCCCTTTCATCTTCACTGACCATTTCTTTCCACACAATACCCCACCCAGTTCCCTAAATTTCATCCATCCCACACGAACTCTAGCCGTAACTGCGCTCAAACATCCTCCATCCGCGTTCAGCTTATCCCCTAAGTAAACAAAGCTTTCCACTCTTTCAATACCACCACTCAACCCCGTCCTTGCGTCCGTCCTATTAATCACACCATGAACACATTTCTTACATTTGAACGTGCCTTCCACCTTTTTCAGTGCCCCCCTCACACCACTACATCTCTTATGCACCCATTTCTGACATCCTATACACAATACCGAGTTAGCCTTCACTCTCCTGTCACATACCCCACAGGGGTCTATTTTACTTATCACTCGCTCCCCACCCTCCCCACTCACCATTACCTTCGTCTTACCAATATTAACTTTTAACCCTTTCTTTTCAAAAACACTTTTCCATCTGTCAAATTTTAACTGCAATTCTTCCATGCTATCAGCCATCAAGACTAAATCATCTGCATACAAAATCCCAACCCCTCCATTATGTTTCCACACACAACATACATCACAATTGCAAACAGAAACGGTGATAACACTGATCCTTGATGCACTCCTACCTTAACACTAAAAGCGTCCGACATCCCCCTTCCAACCCTCACCTTTGTCTTTGCCCCTTCATACAGCTGCATCACAGCTTTAACAAGTCTCTCATTCACTCCTTTCTTCCTCAACGCCCATTCAATGACCTTCCTCGGTACTCGATCAAAAGCCTTTTCTAGATCCACAAAACACATGTACAATCTTCGTTTCTTCTTTCTATAATTCTCCTGCAATATTCTCACCATGAACAACGCATCCACCGTTCCCCTACCAGGCATAAACCCACACTGCATTTCATTAACTGTCACCATATTTCTCAACCTCCTCTCAAGCACCCTCTCCACTACCTTCATTCCGTGCTCTAGCAATTTCACACCCCTATATGACCCACAATCTCTCACATCTCCTTTGCCCTTATGAACAACTGAATCATTAAACATTATGTTCTGTTTGTGTGTTTATGTGCACATGTAAATATACTTACTTGTGCTTAAATAATTTTTTCATTATTACACATTTTATTTTTGGTTTGCTTGATGATTTTGAAAGTGTGCCATTCTGTCCTGAAATATGAGCCTTAGAAGTAAGGTAAACTGAACTGAATAGTTGAACCTATGATGACTTCATGCTGGTTCAACTATGTTCATTTATTCAAATGCTGACATTATCACAGAAGAGTTTTTAAATAATTTATTCAGCAAAAGGCAGTATGCTCCGTATTTAAATTCAACGTACCCTACCCAGTTATTGTTTTTATTTATTTTCCTATTTTCATTTGTATTATTCATTTGTTGTTTTTATTTATTTATTTATTAATATTTATTCGTTTGTTGGATCTTCTGAAGGAGACAGAGGACAGTACCGCCATGCTCTGGTACGAGGAGATACAGGACACCATCCACTATGCAAATGTTGATCTGAAGGAAGCAGAGCAATGTGGCTAACAAATCATTCACTCTACAATTCGTTCAATAATTCTGTCGACTATTTATTCAATTTTGTTGTTGTTGTTTTTTTTTCATGATTTTTAGCATCTGCGTCGATTAATTTATTATCATTGTAGATCATGGTGGGTGATAACAATAGTATACTCATGTTTAATAAGGACTCATTACAAAGCTATTGTAGTCCTTATTGATATCACTTATTTTAATCATTGTGTCTATAGATCTTTGCACTGATCGATCACTTTATTATTATCATCATAATCATCATCATTAACTGAACAACAACAATCATCATCACCAGTATCGGCGTGTGTGGCGGCTGTGAACATATCAGTGGAGAACGAAGACGACAAAAACATGTTGACGTATCTCCAGCATCCATCAGTCCGACTGAACCACATCAGCGCCAACCTCTCCAAGGCTTATGCTGCCTGTCTGAGGGACTTCAAGGCACAAAAGGAATGCGCTGGTTGGTGTTTTTTTGTATATCTCTACATATGTGTTAAACACTAACTCCTACTGCATCACCATGTTTACTTACATCATAACTTCTCCATTTTCGTCTTCTTCACCATCTTTGTTCCAGGTGACACTGGATCAGGCTGGATGATGAACAAGTTATCAAATGGGAGCAAATATTTTTTCAATATCAACACAATGGAAGGATCTTGGAAGAAGGAGAGCAACATTGTCAAGGACTACTCTCTGCTTACCAGGGATGATATTGAGGTGCTGACACCTCTTCTTGTTTGATGTTCTTGGTGCTTTATTTGTCATCTGTTGCAATCTATTTAATTATTTTGATATCGGTCCTTATTAACAACACCAGAACTGTGTGGCCGAGGTAAACAAATCAAGCGCGCGACATTCACTGTTCAAGGCCAGTGAACATTACATCATCCAGTTGCAAGCCCACATCAAGGGGGCCATGGTCAGAAGGAGGTTTCTTAGGAGGAAGAAACTTCTGCTCTCACAAACACCTGCCGTCAAGGCCATACAGGTAGATTGCTTCTGTTAGCCTATCCTGCGGTTTGCATGCTTTTTATTTAAACGAACTGGGTAAACTATTAACAAATGTATTGAATTAATTTCAATTCAACGATCTAAGTCGTTTTATTGGGGGCAATTCATTAGACCAACGAGTGATTTGTTTATTTATTTAAAATTGTAGAAGTTGTCATATTTATTATTTTTGAAAATGATAATTGTTGAAAATGTTGTTTAGCATTGGTGGCGGAGAGTGAAAGCTACGAAGGAGATGAGAAGGAAAATGAATTACTACAGCGATAATGAACATTCCGTTGTACAGGTGCAGTTAGTTCCTGTCTCTTCTGTTCTGTCCTCTCTTCTCCTCTCCTGTTATGTCTCGTCGTGTTCTCACTTTTCTTTTAGTTGTGATATCTCCTCATTTCATTGTATACAAAGCCCAATCCGACATCATTTCATTGAATGCAGGCACAAGCACTGACTCGAATGTACCTGACAAGGAAAGCTTATCAAGAGAGATTGAACTATTTCAAAAAACATGTTAGTGGGAGTTTATTTTAAACGCTTTCAATTTTCGTTGAATTGAAATTAATTAAATATTTAATACAATTTTTTGTGGATAACCATGTAGATGTTTTTATCAGAAAGTTACATTTTTTTTGATCACTTGGAAAATTGTTCTACCATTTACCTCAGGAGCCATCAGTAGTGAAGATCCAAGCCTTCATGAGGACAGCAAGAGCTAGACAGGACTACAAGGCTTTAAGTGAGATTCACTTTTATTTGCGTCGATGTATATTGATTACAAACAATGCCGCCGTCTCCATTAGCGTTGATGTGATGATTAGAAACGTTGCTGTCGTTGGCATTACTATTGTATCACGTTTCTGAACTTTTGTTTGTCAGTTAAATGTCGCAGGCACGTTGTTACAAATGAAATAATAGTCTTTCATACAATTATTTTAAAAGTAGACGAAAGTGTTTCAAGTTAATTATTGATTGTTATAAGTTATTTAATTCTTCCTATACGTACAGTACACAGTTAGTACAGTGTAGTCAGTTAACTATTGTGATTGATTGACATGTGGTAAGCTCGTTTGAAAGCATTCTGAACCATTAAATTGCATTTTATATAATTTAAAGTTTGTGGTGTATTCTCTGCTACACGATTAGGTCAATAATCTTTGTGGCACTCTTTTTTACAGATTGTAAAACCAACCTGCCACTGATTGCATATGCATCTTTACAATAGATTTATTTCAAATTAACAATCTTTATATTATCAATAATTAAAAAATGATTGGACCAAACAAATGGAGAACACACACACACACACAGTGCATGGAGACAATTCTTCAGTTTCTGTCATCAGGAAGTTTGTTCATCTGCTCGATATCACGGATCAGGATTACAATGAAGAAATTGGTTGGCTCTCGTGCATGCATGCATCATGTATCATTTTTGATGATTTGCCATTACTTCATTTTAGTTTCAGTGAATAAATATAAGTTTAAAAATTAGTAAAATATTAATAAATAAATGAATTTTATTTTAGAGCTGGACAAGTTACGTCACCAGGTGGTCCAAGAGATTCGAAGCAACCAGCAGTTGGATCAAGATCTGAACCAGATGGATGTGAAGATTGGACTCCTTGTTAAAAACAGGATCACTCTTCAGGTTTGTGTTGTTCCTCTGTTTATATGACTTAGTTTTGTAACATGACCATCTTCATGTTCAGTTATACATTTCATTCATTCATCTCTCCTCACACCTGCTTAGGATGTGGTGTCCCAAAACAAATTCCTCCGCCAATATCAATCCAACGCGAGTGTTGGATCGGGCACAGGAACGTTGGGTCCGGCTAACAACCTGCTGACTGGAGGACTGAAGGGACTGAGCAAGGCCAGTCACGACAAACTGGAGGCCTACCAACATTTGTTCTATTTGCTGCAGACGAAGCCGCACTATCTGGCCAAGTTGATGTTTGAACTGCCACAGAGCAAGACGACCAAGTTCATGGAGACTGCCGTCTTATCCCTCTACAACTACGCTTCTAACCAAAGAGATGAGTACATGCTGCTCGGATTGTTCAAGACTGCCCTCGAGGAAGAAATCAGGTGGGTCTGGGGTGGGTGGTGGATGATAGGTGGTGGTGGGTGAACAGGGATTGGTTGGGTACTGATGATAGTGAGCGAGGGAATGTATGATGATGAGTTATAAAATGGATGATGAGGAATCATGAAGAGTGAGCAAATAAATGGTGGCAAAAGTTGGTATTGTCATCCAAATAATCAAATAAGTTTGTTATTGAATATTGTGTGTGTGTGTGTGTGTGTGTGTGTGTGTGTGTGTGTGTGTGTGTGTGTGTGTGTGTAGATGATTAGTTATCAGTGGGATTTAATATAAAATGATAATCAGTTTTGTTGAATAAAAACATGTTGTTATCTACTATAACCAGGTCAAAGGTGACTTCACTATCAGATATAATTACTGGCAATCCAATGGTCATCAAGATGATTGTCAGTTTTAATAGGTTTGTTGTTGTTGTTCTTTGGTGTTGTAGTTGTCTTCCGTTGCTTTTGGCAGTATGTTGCTTTATATTTTTGTTAATCATTCATTATAACGATTTTTATTTAAAAATGTTCAAACTAATTCATCATTTTACACAGTAAAATTTGCTTACCATTGATCATTTGTTCAATTTTAAAAAAGTACAATTCACAAGTATTCCAGCAAACTGCCAGAATGGAGTATTATTTTTCTGCCATTATTTTCGTTCTTTTTTACAATTTTATACATACTTGCTGATCTAACTGTTATTAGATTTATTCCCATCATAATTACAATAATTACATTTCATTTAATAACTCTTTTTGTTATGCCTTCTTACTCTTAGCCAGGTGAAAGGTATAGCAAATATAAATATGTCGAATGATAGATGTGTTGATTTTATTATTAATTGGTATCATGTTTCAAAAGATTTTCAATCTTCTCTTATGGTTTTATTGAGTTTTATGGTTTCTAAGTTAGTTTTTTTTTCGTTTTTTTATCTTATTATTATTATTGTTATTATGCTTTTAATTTTCCTAATCAGTGTTACAATTTCGTATCTTTGGCATTTTGGTTATCTATAATCTTCATTATTTGGCAATAACTGTGAATTACTTTTATTATTGACCATTTATTTAGAATTATTTCACGCTTGTCTTTCGTGTGTCAGATGGGGACAAATTTCATTTCAAGCATTTTCCACGCGTGTTTATAAACATAGCTGCCACCCAAAAATACCATTGTGAACAGAAATGCCAGAGGTCAGAGCCTGTTGAAAGAGCTGCTGAATCCCATGGTGATAGAGATCCTGGAGGACAAGAACCTGAAAATCAACACAAACGTCGTCGAGGTTTACAAGCAGTGGGTCAATCAAACCGAAGCAACTACGGGCAAGCCAAGGTTCGTACGCACGTCTCCTCTTGTGGTTTCACGTCACTGATGCATGCTATTATGTGTATTGTATACGTCGTTTCTATGCTAATTATTACTGCACCTAGGCTGCCAGGCTGATGTAAGGCTTCATGTGAGGCTTTTCAAAATTTTTAAAACTTTTAACAAAATGATTATTACTATCGAATGTTTTTTTTTACAACTTTGGGGCATTTTATCGTAATGAAGAGGCCATTTTTACACCGTTTATTCTGAAAATTTGAAGGAATTTTGATTATTTTCATTTTTGTTTTCTTCAACTTGTCTACTTTAAAGATTGTTAGGTATTTTTATATTTGGCAAAAAGTTTGTTAGGAGGTGTTACTATACTATTGAATTAAATCATTAGCAACTCCACCAACACACACACGCACGCACGCACGCACACAAACCTACACACACACCAATACATTAATGATAGGGAAGGCTGAGTTAAACTTTATCTAAGATGTAGTGTGGATAAAATGGAAATCTTCTAATTAGGATCTGGAGAAAAAATTTGATACATGATGGATGCTTGCAGATTAATTCGTGTTGAATGTTTGAAAGAAGCAACAATAAATATTCAGTCATGGTTAATGCCATACATTTAATGGAAACAGATTGGAATGTGATGTATTCATTTTTATTTTGTCTGAGACAATCTACTCTCACCCTCACTGCTTTAGTGTTCATGTGAATTTTAAGATCTGGACACAAATTGATTTATGAAATTATTTTGAAAAATTAATTTTTTTAGATGTATTTTTTTAATTTAATTTATGCTGTGACGACTTGAATGTTGAGGTGATGTCGAAAATGTTGACGAAAATTTTTTTATTAGTGGTTTGCCCTATGACGTGAGCATTGAACAAGCCCTGAAGCATGAAGAAGTACGTGGGATGTTTCATCATTTTGTAACATTTCTATTAATTGATTGGATAACTAATTAGATAATCGAACAAACAAACAAATAAATGAAATGAATGAATAAATTGAAAAATAATATGAGAAAGAGTGAGAGTGAGTGATGGTGATACCAATAAGTATAATTGATTGATTGATTGATTGATTGATTGATTGATTGATTGATTGATTGATTGATTGATTGATTGATTGATTGATTGATTGATTGATTGATTGATTGATTGGTAATATTAAATTAGTTTGATTGATTGTAATAGACAGAGATAATTATTACTTATAGGTTTTCATTAGTAATGATATTAAAAATATCATAATAAATAACGAACAATTTATCAATATATATATATATACATTGAGTGTATGGATTACTAATAAACTACTTAAATTTAAATTTAAATATAATCGATTAACTTAATTTCACACACACACACAAACTCACCAACACACACACACACAAACTCACCAACACACACGCACACAAACTCACCAACACACACGCACACACACACGCATACTAATTCCAATCAACATAATAATGATAATTCATCCTCCGCATATCACCTGGAAACTACCCGCAATCGTTCGAATGAAGGTCGGAATGAAGTTGAGTGACACCATCTTGGTGCTACAACAGTGCACTGAGAAGTTCCTCGGCGCCATCCTAATGTCCATTGATAAGATACCGTATGTTACCTTATATCTTTAGTCTATATGGTCTATCATTTTGCTACAAATTTGGTTAGGCTAACTATTCATATGTGTATTTTGATTTGTCGGTTTAAATATTTTTTAAAGAATAATAATGAAAGAATATTTATTGGCGACGACGTTTTGCGGTTGTCGTTGTTATTAACCTGTCATAAGCTGAATAGGGAAGATGATTTCTTGTAGGTACGGCATGAGGTACATGTCGAAGGTGCTTAAGAACGCATTGCACGCCAGATTCCCTGAGGCCCAGGAGAAAGAAATATTGAAGGTTGTGTGTTTTAACTGCCATCATCACACACACACAAACCCACGCACACACACACACACACAACCTTCACACACTCGCCAGATCATTTTACTTACCTAAGCAAGCAGCAATTGCACCAACACACACAAACCTACACATACACCAACACACACACACATCGACACACACATTCGCCAGATCATTGGAAACCTGATCTACTACCGCTATATCAACTCGGCTATCGTGGCGCCAGATGCGTTCGACATCATTGAAGTGGCCGCCAACCAGGGCCTCACTAATGAGCAGCGACGTAATTTGGGATCTGTGGCCAAGATATTGCAGTTTGCTGCTTCTAACAAAGGGGTGCGTTTATTTGTTTGTCTGTTCGTCTGTTCGTTTGTCTGTTTGTTGGTGGTTTGTTTTTTGTTTTGTTCGTTTGCAATGATTTATTTGCTATGATTTGTTAGTTTGAAGTTTTTGTTATTTTTTTTTTAAGATTGACGGAAATTTCTTTGCTGAGATTGTAAAGTAATCAAATAAAACGATAACTTTCATGTTATAATTATTAATTATGCTAGTACTTTGTTTATTAACTAAATTCAGTTATGGCAATTTGTTAAATTAATTTAGTTAGAAAAGTTTATTCATTTCATAAATGTAAATCATTTCAATTTTTAGTTCGGATCTGACAGTCCCCACCTGGTTTCCATGAACAAATATATCATGGATGCCCACGCAAGATTCAAGTTGGTTCTTCATCCTTTCTATCCATTTCATCATTCCATCCATCTATCATTCATTTCATTTTTTTAACTCCACCTCTCATTTTTACATTTCATCTCTGTTCATCATCCATCCCATCTTTCCAACATCCATCTTTACTTTACGTGTTTTTTGTGTTGCCATAAACGATACTTGGTCTCGTCTATAGGCGATACTTCCAGGAGATATGTGAGGTGGACGAGCCGGATGTTGTCTTCAACATCGACCGATACTCAGATGTCGCCCGTATCATCAAACCTGTCATTTACATCTCCGTTGGGGAGATTGTCGATCTGCACAAGGTCTGATTCGATGATTGAATGATTGATCTGCACACTTTGTTGCTTGCCTCGCTTGCTGTTATTTTTCTTGTCTCTGCTCTGAATATTTTAGATTTCTCTCTTCTCTATGTTTTTACGATCTATTTAGGTCTATAAAATTTTGTTTTTTTGGAATAATGATTTGACAAAATTTTACATTTCGGTTGATTATTTACTTTTCAGAATTAAAATTTAAGTATTATGAATATTCATTATAAATACTAAATACTGGCAACACGCGACAAAATACAGCTGTTGTTGGTCCACCAACATGTGATCGCCCCGGACCCGCACGACCCCCTCCATGAACTCCTGGACGACCTTGGGGATGTCGCCGATGTGGACGCCATTTTAGGTTTGCTCTTCGTTTGACGTCTTACGCTCAACCAACCACTGACGCTCATGCACGCAAGTAAATAGTTGCTGGTTGTTTGGCAGGCGACGCAAGCTGTGATGAAGTGGCTAGACAGCAGATGGCCAAGACGGAAATCTCGCTGATGTTGTCCAACAAGTTCGAGCTGCCAGATGATGACCAGTTGAACATTCAGACAACAATGTTGAGGTCAGTTGCCTCATGTTTTGTTTTTTTTTTATTCATCATCTTTGGATCAGCATTTGTTTGGAAAGGATGTGCTTTTGCAAATAATTTACTTGTTCAGTTTGTCGCGTAATTGAATGAGTTTCTTCATTGGTTGTAACGTAAGATTTCATTTCATTTCATTGATTATGACGTCAGATTTCATCTTGGTTTACGTGTTCTTAATTTCTTCTACTCCTTACTGAAAGGTCTTCAATTAATTTTTTCTCATCACTACTAAGGGCTGTTAATTATTTGCTATGAGGCTCAATTTGTTAATATTATTCATAAAACAATTCAGTGCTTGTTATTATTTTGAAAATTTGAGCAGAACAAAACAAATGATTGTTGACGTGCTGAGGTGTCAGAAGTCCGGTGATAATCTCATTCAAGTCCTTAACTGCAGAGCTACTGAAGCTGAAGTCAGTTGACTGATTGAATGGATGACTGGTTGGATGAATGGATAGGTGCATGCATGTTTTGGATAGGTGCATGCATGCTTGTTTGGATGGGTGCATGACGCATGTTTGGAAATATATTTATTCTATGATATTGCTAGTTGGTTTTTTAGGTGAATAAATTTTGAATATTTTGTAGGCATGGCTGGTGTTTACAGGTTTATAAAATGTGATTGTGATTAGTTGTGATTGTTATGGTGATGATGATGATAAAGATGATACAAATGATTATTATGATACAGATGGTGATGATACAAATAGTGATGATGATACAAATAATGGTGACGACGATACAAATAATGATGATGATGATAATGATGGTGATGATACAAATAATGATGGTGATGATGATACAAATGATGATGATGATGATGATACTAATAATGATGGTGATGATGCAAATGATGAAGGTGATGATACAAATAATGATGATGGTGATGATACAAATGACCGCCCACCAGGAAAATGTACATGCAGCTCTGTTGAGAGCGAGGGATCGAGTTGAGCAGAGAGGCACCAGGTCGAACCTCATCAGACAACAATCCGTTGCTGGTGGAATCAAGTTTGTTCTTTCTTTTATTTCTTTATTCATTCGCTCGTTCGGTAGATGAGCGGATGTTTGACTGAATGACAGGATGGAAAGGGATGGATTTGAGGTTGAATAAAGGGATGGATGGTTGGTTGAATGAATTGGTGGGATTGCCATTTGATTGGCTAAATTAGTTGTGTTGTTTGGATTGTATGTATTTCATGCTTTCTAGGTCAGTTGTTAATTTCATTTAACTATTTGTTTCTGAGGAAATCACCTTGAATGGAAAGGTTAAGTTGCGCAATTTTTCGGTTTTCAGGATGCTGTTTTCGAGATGTTCTCTGGCTAGTTGTTAAAAATCGAAGTGGGGGCCGGCTTGTAATTGTGCATTAAACTTGTGCAGTTGCCGACGCTCATTTGATCACGAATGTGTCTTGTCAATCTTGTTAATATCTTGTTAACACGGTTAACAGCATGAAAATGTTGGCATCATATTTTAATAATGTAACTTTTGATTTAGAGAGCTGTTGATAATGTTGTCAATTTTTTAAAATGTTTGTTTCTTATTCTATTTAGTTGATAAATTTCTGCCATTATAAAAAATAAAAAACTCATATGAAACGTTTCTTCAGACTGCCAATTGAACCAATGAAGGGAGTCATAAGGGAAAATTTAGACAAGTTGGAAAAGGCAGGAATGGTGTCAAAAGAAAATGCTTATCAAAATATTGTTCAGTCCATCTTGCAGGTTTGTGGTCTATCGGTCGGTCGGTTAGTCAGTCGGTCGGCCGGTTGGTCAGTCGGTCGGTTGGTTGATTGACTGGCCCGGTCAGTGATGTATTTGGTTGGTTTCATACTTAGGGTATCAAGTTAATTGAATGTTTGTCATACAATCTACATGGATCACTTTAATGACTCCATTTATTTTTGCAATTTTTACAAAAAAATATTTTTGTATAATGTTGTCTACGATTTGATTGGCTGTAAAATCGGCTTCGCCGTATTCAATGTGACTTTTAAAACATTACTCATTACAAAAACTTTTTGCAATGCAATTGCACTTTGTTAGGACGTGCGCAATCAGAGACTGCACAGGCAGCGTAGGAAGGCTGAAATGGCTCGCCTGAGGCAGACCATGAAGAACTTGGATCAGAAGAGGGCCTTCTTTGAGGAACAGATCAACTACTACAATCAATATGTCAAGACTTGTCTCTCCAAACAAGCGGCTAAAGCTCGGTTAGTTTGTTGAATTTGAAAAAATTTCATTTTTACACTTGAGCAGTTTTATTTTTTTTTAATTGGTTGCTGATCCGAAATTACTTTGCGACATAAAAACAGCAAGAAAACTTCGGTGAAGTACAGCGCCTTGCGATTGCATGAGAAGGGGGTTCTCCTGGCCATTGAGGGGCTCCAACAGAACCAGTTTGTTTAATGTTCATTTGTCTTGTTCTCATGTGGTTTTTTTTTTAATATTTTTTTCTTTTCTCTTTGTTGATTAGTTTGGTTAACTATTGCCGTTTTTGTTGACCATTAGTCATGTTTTAAAATGTCTATAGCGAACTTTTTACAGAAAAGTTTGCTATACGTTACGGAATGTTATACATATTACTTTGAATTGTAAAACAAAATTTTACATAATTTTTATTTATAGATTGGTGTTGTGAGCTTGTTTAAGCAGGCACAGTAAAATAATATTTCTTAAAAGGTTCAAGAATGTGTTGTTTGAGATCGTATCAACAGACATGCCTGGTTTGTTCATTGTTCACGCAAAGTTCATGGGCGTGAACATGGAGAAAGTTGAACTGCACTTCCAGGTTTTACTTGTGATTCCTTACAATGTTTTGCACGTTCTGTGTTTATAACACTTTTATGTGTATGCAACAGATTGCGAAACACGTTTTCAATGTCCCGACCGTCATGTTATTCAAACATTATTACAAAACAAATTTTTAACAGTCTCGTACTTCCTTGATGACAATTTGCAAGGCTTTCAGTTTTTATTTTCTCAAACGCTCAATATTACTTTTGTTTTTTTTATTTTGATTCGTTTGTCAATTTAAATATGAAATAAAGGCTTCATTGGTATTGCTAGGTACAACTTTGATTTGTATATATATTGAAGGTTCAATTGATTGTCATACTTTCTCTATGCAGAATCTACTTGAGCTGCAGTACGAGGGCATAGCGGTGATGAAGATGTTTGACAGGGCTCAGGTCAATGTCAACCTGCTCATCTACCTACTGAACCACAAGTTCTACGGCAAGAAATGACTCCTGTCCTCTTCAAATTTTGTTGACTTACTGCATGGTTGTTTTATTTTTTTGCCCCTCGATGATGTTCAAACGTGGTGTGGTACAATAATAAATAAATCTCATTATTGCAAGTTAAGTGGTCAATTATTATTCGATCTTGATTGATTAATGTGCAGAATATAATATGCGGTGTGTGTGTGTGTGTGTGTGTGTGTTACCGGGTGATTGTATGTGATAGTGATTCCTTTCCTGATTTTCGTATTTGATACATTTAATGTTAATTTAATGTTAACGTGCGCGCTGTCCACCACCATTATTCATAATTTTATTTTTTATCATTTCCTGATTTTTATTTGCGAGACCAGCGTATACTTCTGATGATATCTTCTGATATCTGCTGATCGCTTTTTATTCTGACTGACAAAATTTTAAGATACAGATGATGGAACGCCAGCACTTTGCTAACCTGTATGATGATACTTCGTCTTTAAGACCTATTCCATTCATTCATGCAAACTGCCTTCCTGACTATGTTCGATATGTGACATATCATTTGAACACTGTGATTGAGTTATTCATTTCAAGTCCTCTATTTCAGCGCTATAAAAATGTATATTATTTTATTTTAGACTATACTCATCGTTCGTCAGACATAACACACACACACACACACACACACACACATAAATCTATTACCTTATTCCATTTTAATTTTTAATTCCAAATATTCTTTCCATTTTTTTTATCGAAATATAATTTCCCAGTAGTCATGTTTATTAGAAATTTTATATCAAAATGTTTTTTCACACATTCATATTATATTTGACTATATTTGACTTTACAATATATGAGAACTTTCATGAGAACTTTACATCAGTCAGGTGGCAATCAAATTATTGTGCTATCCCGTCTTACGTCAAAATAATTATCGTTTAATAAGCTAACATCGGTAACATCCTTGATTTAAAAGCATTGCTTGTTGCTCTAATTTGCGTGTATAAATTAATTTTCAATGAATAATCTTGAATGTTTTTTAGAATCACTTATTTTTTTGATCAAGTTGATTTCAATAGCACGATTAAAAGGATCATGATCGCATCTTCAACATTTTATCTGACGCATAAATTATAACTTGGCTTTATTTATAATTACGTTTAGTCTTTATTCAATAAATGAAACCAAAATTTCGAATGTATTTGATTTTCGTTAAACCTCAACGACCAATGAAATTCTCGAGACCGTTGCATCGAAAAAATGAACTTAATCCTGACCATTTAAGCCTTGATTGTCGTTGGTCAAACCCACAGAAAATTATATTTTTTTGAATAAGTTGTTTGATTTTTTCAAACCCGTAAGTTTTTGTAATTGTAATTAGACCTCGTGTCACATGTTTGGACCAATTTTACTACAGATTTTTGTCAAAAGCAAAAATAAACGGGCACACGTTTACAAATGAAACTCAGTACTACAATAACAGACTGATCACATTCACCTGTTTCCTTTTCTTTATGTCTCATTTTCAAATGACACACTCACGCACTACACTACACACATTGTATGTGATAAGCGTTCGAATCCAAACACTGTAACACCAGAACCAGTCGCTTTAATCGGTACTCTATTAGAGAGTGAGAGAATGAGAGAGGACGAAAGAGAGAGATGCGGTATCTGTGTCATTTGAAGGTCCTCCGCATGTCGAACATCCACGCATCACGTGCTAATCACGTGAGGTCAAAAGTATGAATTCGCATGCAGAATGTGTGGTCATTCGCTCAAATGCACAGTTATGTACATAATAAATATAATTTATATATATTATGTATGTATAAACTGAATGTATAAATATATACATTTATAACATGCATATCGAAGGTATAAAAACTCAGTGTTGTATTTTATTATGTCTATATATATATATATATGTATATTGGATATGTTGTATATGACGTATGAGTGAATGTATATGTGCGTTCCATATGAAGTTTAAGGTCGATTGCTAATATTTAATTAGAGTAATGCGAAGTTTGCAGGTCTGATTAGTCAATGTTGAGCAACTATTGGTGGTTTAAATAATAGACCATGAATTTTTCACAAATGAGCCGCTTGAACATAGGCAGGTAGGTTTATAGGTAAGTATAACATGCATATAACTTAAATATTAATTTGATGGTAATTATACTGAACTGTGTGCTCCGATCTTAAACATTGTGATGAATAATTATTAACAAAGCTGTTTATAATAATTTATTAATTATAACATGCCCTGATTTGCATGATATGTGTGTTAATAAATATATTAATAAATATATATGTATATAATTATATATATATAATTAAGTATTAAACATTTTATCTGTATTCATATGGTCTGCATCATATACGTCTGTTTTATTTGTCAATATGAATGTATAATTGTATAGCCATCTATGAATGTGAACAATCTATATTTATATTATATATATAATACATTGCATATCTATATATATGCAATATATATATATATATATATGCAATATATATATATATATATATCAATANCTATAGACNCTATATATATATATATGTGTGTGTGTGTGTGTGTGTGTGTGTGTGTGTGTGTGTGTGTGTGTGTGTGTGTGTGTGTGTGTGTGTGTGTGTGTGTGTGTGTGTGTGTGTGTAAATTATGTTTTTATCCAAAACATGAAAAAATAATGTTTGTTTTGTGCTTGTGGTCTTTGTTTGTACCGAACCAAAAATAGAGGTGATTGATAGCATTTCATTTGTATCAACAATACGGCGTTGTACAAAAATTATGTATATATATATAAATGTATGTATATGTATTATGTATTATTAAAAATTATGTATGTATCTATGCGCGAGTGTATACAGTATAGTATATAGATACATATATGTATATATCTATATATATAATAGTTTTTAAATATTTACCCAGGCTTTTCGAAAAGTATCAAATGATGTAAAGTGGATCTCCGTACTTCTTGTTATTGACTTTTATGAGCTGTGTGTCACGGGCTGCATAATTTTTGTCATACACATGCTTTCAATTTTGGAATATAAAGAGCAGTTAAGAATTGACAATTGAATACATAAGAATTTTGTAATGAAATGCTGGAATTGTAAGATTGTGCTTCTATTTCTGTCCAATTAATAATTAACTGTTTCAACAAAAAATATTTTTAAATTGTAAAAAAACGACAAAATTTTCATTATTTTTTCTTATAATTAATTGTCAAACAGAAAATTACAAAAATTGACTTAGATATCTAAAATTTGTTTAAAAAATTGGTTTTATTTGTCAAAAAAAGTTTTGTGAGTTATTCGTTACGTTACAGGTTACATGAATTCACTGAAAAACGGATTGAGATAATATTACAGAGAAGCTAGATCATTATAAATGTATTACTTAAAAACTACTAATTATTAATGATTAAATATTATGAAAATATAATATTGTTGTCAGCACTGCGTTTGTGAGCTTCATACAACAGTAACATTGTAAAATTAGTACAAAGTACAGTATAGCTACACCTACAGACAAGGTTAGCAAATCTTATCTCCTAGTAGTCCAGCCAACATTTGTTCATATTTCAGTTTGTTAATGAACATTCCTGGGACCAGCTGTTGCAACATCGCCAGGAGGTTTAATCTTAAAAATTTCATCATTCCCACACGACAAGGTTGTTCATTCATTTATTTAACTTTTTATTTATTTCATTTTTATACTATATCACTTTTAAAAAAATGTTCAGTCTAACACTACTAACACTAGCAAGTCGGTATACACGTGCTGTGCTGGTAGTTTGATTTATGATTTTTTAATGTGTTCTGTTTTAAAAGCTAGGGGCTAATTATTAAAAAATATGTCGTAAATTTTTGTCTTTTTTTGTAGTTTTATTTACTTGTCGCTTGGTTGGCCCAGCCAGCTAGACATATAAATACTCTGGTTTCGGTTTTGAATTTAGGCAAGCAAAGGTATACAACCAGACTACTCATGCAATTATTTCTGTGAGATAAGCATGGAAGTGAGAGTGTTAATAGACTTAAAAGTGAACTTAGGTTATTAATAATAAAAATTAGAATGTTAATCTCCTATACTTGAAATAATAAACATTTAATTTAGTAGAACATTTAAATAAAATAAAATAAATTGAAATAGAATAGCATATTCATATCTACAATGAAAATCGAAATGTTTTTAAAAAGATAGATTCATATTTGTAATGCTGTAAGTAACTGCTGTAATGGTTATGCATGATTGGCAGAATAGTATACTTTAGTACAGAGTACATCGTGAAAGTGTACTGTTATGTATCTTTAACATTGGTGGGCATGAAATTGCACTTTGATGAACTATTTTAACATTGGCAGGTGTGAAAAATTACACTTTTTTTGCCTAACAGTTAAGTTAAGGGTTAGGTTGTGCTGAGTGCTGAGAGTATAAGACTTCTGTTTTATTCTAATTCTAATAATTAAATAACTAAAATCTAAACTAGTAAGTTCTATTTTAAAATTAAATTAAATAATCTTCTTTATCTTCACTATTTAAAAATAAACTTAATAATACTTTTTTACAAGTATATTCTTGTTAAAAAGTTGTAAGTTTTATTAACGCTAACTAAACTTTGAAACATTTTAAAGGCATTTCAACTTTTTTAACTATTTGAAAATAATTTTGCTTGCATTGTTCCTTTTTTTATGAAAATTTATGAAAAATTAAAATTTAAAGCTTAAAAAATGTGTTTTGCTATGTTTTGTTTGCCAGCTTTTATAATTTAATAATATAAATTTATTCACAAAGTCAATTAATTAATTCTTGGTGTTGTTTTATATTAATATTATAAATTATATAATAATAATAATATCATCTAGCGGCTCTACTCTAGCATTAGAATTTACCAATCTCTTCTAATCTACTATCTACAAGCAGACTTTAATTTTTCAGTTAATAATGAGTTATGCTATTTAATTTACTATACTGTTTAATTATTATAATGAAAAGGTTTTTCTAAAAATAGCTGACTGTGAATGACAAATTGGCAGATAAGGTAGAACAAGTACAGAGTACACAACTAATTAAAATACAAAATTTTCCATGCTATCTTTCATATGAGATGCATACAGAGATGACTTTATTCAATGATTAATTAAGTCTAGTCTAACTAATGTATAATCTCTTTTTATTATTATTTATATTATATTATTATTACTGTTATTAAATGGGTAGTAGTTAAGTTAATTGACATATATATAATTTAATTAAAAATTTATTCATAAAAACTTGTTCTTTGCTTCATAATATAAAGTTTATATTTACTATCTTGCCATTCAAAACGTAACATAATGCTTTTATAATATTTATATAGCTTTCATTAAAATAATGTCACATTTTTTGTATTCTCTACTGTCTCTAGCCAGGTTAATTGCTGTCACTATTTCATTTTTATGCCACTGGTGTCAATTGTTAGTTTCACTCCTAATAATGACAAATTGACAAATCAAATTTATAAAGTTTAAAAATGAAATTTTCCAGGAAATTTCAAATTTTGAATAGGAGACTCAGCGGTTGTTTGAGGAAGTGTTGCTGAAATAGTTGATGGATGTTGATGCTGGTACTGTCCATTTCCTGGCTGGAGCGTAAGTATCAACTTTGTTGGATTGGTTGGGTGGATGTTTGTCTTGTGCAGAAGTAATTAGGTTTATAATATTCATTAATATGTTGCATTGCAGATAATACTCTGTAATTTTCATTTGTTTATAATATAAATAGATTGAAGCACTGAGTTATTTGCTTAATGCAAACAACTATAATATCATTTAGAATATTTTATCATTGATTTAAAGTTTTTTTATGTTGTATATATACTGTACTGTATAACCACATTTCTAATAAATTACCTAGTTTTATTTATAACTGAATGGATACTATCTTTCCAGCCTAGGCGGAACAGCAGGGGCGGTCCTAACCTGTCCACTCGAAGTTTTGAAAACTCGTCTGCAATCATCTCGTCTCTCCCTGCTAACAGATCGAAGTCACCTCACAGCTGCAGCAGACCACCAGAACCCACAGCTGCTACGAAACAATTCTCACAAGCTCTCGTTATCATCCTTGCCATCTTCATGTACGTGCAAGACTAACAACAGCAGCAGTAGGATTAATGATGCTTGTCGAAGATTGTTCGTAACAACGAGGGGGTCCACCTCTGCTGCTGGCGGCGGGAATGTCCTGATAGCAGAGCAGACGACAGGGTACTCCATCGTTTCACAGCCTCGATTAGGAATTCTCTCTTGCTTCAGGTTTTATTTTTAGCTTCATTTTTTATTTAGTTTCAATTAATTTTTTTATGATGATGGGGGGAATAAAATGCTGCTTACAGTTAGCAATAAGGTGCAGTTTCATTAATATAATGATAGGCTTAAGGATATGGCTTCAAAGACACTGATAAGTTAGTTTTAATGATTGACTTGATGTGAGGTGATCATCATCAGCAAATGATGATGTTATAATTAGCAATTTGTGATGCAATTGATGATGTTATAATTAGCAATTCTTCTTCCTTTCATAACAAATTTTCATGTTTGTTCAGCTCTGCTTGTCACTGTCACTATGTTTGATCCAATTTTTCTTCAAGTAAATGTCAATGACATTAATTCATTCATTCATTGTACATTCTGTGTGTGCATTCTTTTGTAAAATTGGGCTTTCATGTTCGGTGTTGCCTTGCTCTTCTGTTGCAGCTATTGACTGATGTTATTATTGCTATTGTTGTTATTTTTTTGTAGGTTTTGTTTTGTTTTGTTTACATTTTTAAAGCGTTAAAAAATAATTAAAAAATAATAACATCGGAGATAGAAAGTATTTTTTAAAATTGTAGTTGAAGGTAGTTTGTGTTTGTTGTTGTTGTGTGTGTGCGTGTGCGTGCGTGTGTTGATACATTGCCGGCTCTCTTATGAACTTATTGAGAGATATGCTGATCTAAATAAAAGAAACAATGAATAAATAGATGGATGAGTGAATGAATGAAAGATGATTGAGTGAAAATATGATTGTATGAATGAATGAATGAATGAATGAAGAAATTAACGAGTGGATAGATGAATGAAGTTATGAATGAGCATTTGGACGTGTCTGTGCTTAATTTCATTTACCAAATTAGAATACCTTGAAGGTTGATTATTTTATCCTGCAATCCGGCACGCAAATGCATGTGACTGTTTGTGTCAATTTGTATTCATTATACCTACGCCTGAGTATGTACTGTTGCATGTGTGGTTGTTAGCAATGTACTTAGCTATACTTTACAGTGCATAGAGTTAGACAGATAGATAATTGATTTAAAAATTTTTAATTTATCAGCTAAGCAGACAGATTTAACAATAACAAGTATAAGAATGAAAAAAAATAGAACGAATGAATGAATGAACGAATGAATGAACGAATGAGTGAATGATTGGATGAATGAATAAATAAATATGCAAAAGAATGCTGAGATTGAACTGTGAATCAATGAATGAATGAATGATGAATAAATAAATAAATGAATAAGTAGTTGAATAAATATATGAATGAATATATGAAATATTGAGTGAGTGAATGAATGAATAAATGAATGAGTTGTATTGTACATGTGGAAGTTCAATATATGGGCTTAAAAATTTCTTAATCTGCTAATAATGAAGTGAGATGTAACAAGTGCACAGTTGTCTTGTAATGTTTTGTGATGGTGTATTCATTCATATTGTTATCTCTGGTTATACAAGAGTTTATAGTGTTTGGAAATGTGTGTGCGTATGTTTGCTATATGTGTGATTGTATGTTTTTGTGTGTGTGCTTCATATTGTACTTGCAACTTCGCATGTAATTTATATTAATATTAATATTATATTATATATATTATATTAATTTATATTCAATTTATATAAGAACGTTCTTGTTTGAGCAGATGTTTATGAGGTAGACGTGTGGGTAGACGCTCACACATACACACACACACACACACACAGAGAGAGAGAGAGAAAGAGAGAGGGAGAGGCACATATATATTTTTTATCCAAATTAATTAGTTATTTTATTCACCATAGTTTATTAAATTAAACCGCTTTCTCTAATAAGCAAGGGTATTTCTAAGTTTCCATTTCAAATTATGCAACATTTCAAATAAGTTTTAATTAAGAAATATCTTTTCGGGACAAATAATCTAAATTTTATTGGGATGACTGCATCTAAAATCTAAAAGATTTATGTTCCCAAAAGTCAGTGTGTGTGTGTTTGTGTGTGTGTGTATGTGCATGTGTCTGTAGAACACCTCATCATTTGAAATTTTTCTGTCCAAAGGTCATTCATAAGAATCTAACTTTCTGTCATGTTAAACTATTTTTAGTACAACTGCAGCCATGATGATGATGATGATGGTGGTGATGAAGAAGATAGTGGTGATTATGATTATGAAGTTATGATGATGATGATGGTAATGATAACATCAATAGTGATTGATTTGTGATGCACTAATAATAATAATATTATTATTATTTATAATATTTTGGACTGTCTATTTACATTTTAATCTTGAAATATTTACTGTTTAAAAGCAAAAGATAAAATGAATGTTTGGATGATGATGAGAATGATGATGGTGACGATGGCGATTATGCGATGATGATGATGGTAATTATTATTGTTGTTGTTGCTGCTGCTGTTGTTGTTGTTGTTGATGATGTTGTTGTTGTTGATGATGTTGTTGTTGTTATTGTTATTATTTTGGCTGGGATGATTGTGTATGTAGACAGTACTTATAATAATTATATTGTGATGAAAACATAGACTAGACAGCTTGTCTGCTGAAATCATGAATTTATTTATTTTTTATCAATTCATTTCCAATGCTTTCTGTCTACCAGTTTGCTTTGTTGCCTAGTAAAATTGATTACGTTGACTTATCATTGGTTTCATTACCAGTTATAATTAATAATAATAATTATTATTATTATAATTATTATTATTATTATAAACGAATATTAATAATAAGTAATTTAAATGAAACAACATTCAAAATCTCAATAAAATTATAAATAAAATATCTTGTTATTATTTCAGAAACATGATATGATTATACCATTTGTTCTTCTTTTCATCATCGTCATTATATTCAGCTTCAGTGTCATGGCTTCATTTTTGTTATTTTCATATATCATTATTACAATATCATCATATTGTAATAATGTATTTTAATAATAATAATATTTTTTAAGGTGGAAGGCACGTTCAAATGTAAGAAATGTGTTCATGGTGTGATTAATAGGACGGACGCAAGGACGGGGTTGAGTGGTGGTATTGAAAGAGTGGAAAGCTTTGTTTGCTTAGGGGATAAGCTGAACGCGGATGGAGGATGTTTGAGCGCAGTTACGGCTAGAGTTCGTGTGGGATGGATGAAATTTAGGGAACTGGGTGGGGTATTGTGTGGAAAGAAATGGTCAGTGAAGATGAAAGGGAGGGTATATAAAGCATGTGCGAGAGCAGCGATGGTATATGGTGGTGAAACTTGGGTGTTGAGGAGAGAGGAGGAAAGTGTACTGCAGAGGGCTGAAAGAGCTATGGTGAGGATGATGTGTGGGGTTATAGTGAAGGATAGGAGGAGTAGTACAGAGCTGATGTCGATGATGGGACTGAATGAGGACATTGTGACATTGATAAGGAGATCGAGATTGCGGTGGTATGGACATGTGTTGAGAAGGGGTGAAAGGGTCGGGATTAGGCGAGCGTTGGAGTTCGAGGTTGAAGGAGTGGTAGGAAGGGGTCGTCCGCGATTGGGATGGAGAGAGCAGGTGGAGAAGGACAGGGTGAAAGCGGGGTTGCGTGATACTGAGGCGAGTGACAGATGTGGATGGCGTCGAGGGGTATTTCGGTTTCATCATAGGTAGCCAAACGGCAACCCCCGATCTCTGGGAAAATGCCGTCTAAACGTGTGTTGTTGTTGTTGTCATCATATTATTACCACATTATCATCATACTAACACACTATCCTCTCATTATCATCACATCAACACACTATCCTCTCATTATCATCACACCAACACATTATCATCACATTATCATCACACCAACACACTATCTTCTCATTATCATCACACCAACACATTATCATCACATTATCACCATCACATCATATCGCCACCAATCCAGAAACATCATAGTATCAGAGGGTGCTGGTGCCCTGTTTAAAGGTTTGCTTCCTAACCTCATCGGGGTGGCCCCTTCCAGGTTAGATGGTGGTACGATGGTGGTGGTCATGGGGGGACGATGGTGGTGTTGATGGAGGAACGATGGTGGTGGTTTTGGTATGACATTGTTATTATTATAACGAGATGGTGATTGTATGAAGTATGATGATGTTGGTGTTGGCGTGGTGGTAATATTGGTTAAACATTTGAACATGATTTTACCATATTTTTTACTTGTGGTTTTATCTTATTTGTGATATATATATATATATATATATATATATATATATATATATATATATATATGTGTGTGTGTGTGTGTATGTGTGTGTGTGTGTGTGTGTGTGTGTGTGTGTGTGTGTGTGTGTTGTGACAATGAACAATAAAAAGTATGACGAAAAATTATTATTTATTTATTCATCACAAGTCTCTCTCCGATATTTTTCTGAGGCAATTCAAATAAAACAGCGATAATGAAATGATGACGATGATGTAATATGATGATAAGATGATGATGATATGAAGTGATGATACTAAGATGATAGTGATATAGTGATATGATACTAACACGACATCACCTTCACTCGCGTACCATATAGGGCCATCTACTTCGCTGCATACGCGCAGGCGAAGGTCTTCCTGAACAACTCCCAACTTCTCAATCCTGATACTCCTATAGTCCATCTTTTCGCAGCTGCTGTCGCAGGTTGGTTATGGTAATGATGGTGGTGATGATGATGATGTCAGTGATAGTGATGGTGGTAATGATGATGATGGTAGTGGTGTGTCGCTGTAGCAGGTTGGTTATGGTAATGATGGTGGTGGCGATGATGATGGTGATGATGATGATGGTGGTGGTGTGTTGCTGTAGCAGGTTGGTTATGATAATGATAATGATGATGATGGTAGTAGTGATAATGATGATGTCAATAATGGTGATGGTGATGATGATGACGATGGTGTCTGTGGTGCGGCAGATGATGATAGTGATACCGATGACGGTAATGACGATGTTGATTGTGGAAAAATGAATAAAAATAGTTTTGATGGTGAGGGTGATAATTAGCATAATAAAGTTAATTACTGTGATTTATATTCATTAATGATAATAATAATTTTGTCTGTACTGTTAACAAGAGCATTTGATAAATAATGCAATCGTACTTTGAACAGTTACTTAACACACACACACACGCATACACGTACTCAGTTGTTTAATTGAAACTTAAACTGTGCAGTGCGCTGATGTCACGATGCACTGATGTCATTGGATGAGATGCATTTTTGTTGTTGTTGATGCTATCAAAATTCTTTCCTGAAGTTTCACACAAAGATCGCCTTAGTTTATGTGGCAGGTTTAATATTTTAAAAGTGATGGTCAGATATGATATATAAAAAAATTTCAAAATTTTCAACGAATATAAAGTTTCCATTATTCAATATCCGGATGTCATTTGCTATTTTGCACTCAAATCATGGTCTCAAATCAATTTATCCAGTATCTGTAGTGTTGGTTGTTTTTATTGATTATCAATCTTAATCAGGCTCATTTTTTACATTATTTTGAGGTATATTCTAAACATTTTCTGAACTTTATTTTGGGAGAACGTCTGCTGTTGCTGGGAGTTGAAGATTTGTAATTTAACAATTCACTAATGGCGGCTTGATGGTATAGTGATTAAGGTCGCCTGGTGCTGTTTCGTAGTAACCGGGTTCGAATATGACAAAAAGATCCCCGCCTATCGCATGCGTCGTTTAGCACGTATTCATATACGATGTTTGTGCGCTTTGTTGAATCTTCTGAACTTTAGAAGAGTGTAATTGAACTTTTTTTTAACCTCTCATATAAAAATGTTAAGATTACTGTTATTACTTTATGTAATTGAAAATTAATAGCATTGGTAGAGATTTAATTATCTTTTTGAAGCTATGTCTTTGTCTGAAATATTTCATTATTAATACATTTTTGTACGAATTATACTGATTTAGTCTGTGGTATGTGTGATAATAGTGTTATATGCTCTATGTTTCGTTCATTTGAAGTCGTCAGAAAATATTTTATGTAGAATTTTAGTTTTTTGTTAAGTTTAAATTAATATCATTTATTTGAAGTTTGAGATCTTAATAATATCTTTAGCTTGTTTGATGTGAGAGTTATGTGATCCAGGCGGTTTTTTTAATGATTTTCGCCAACCCAAATTTGCTGAACATTAGAAAAGAAAGTGTTCCCACATAAGACTATGGCGATTAAAATAAGATTGTGTCACGATTACGATCAATTTTGTAATCAATAGATTAATTATCCGATTAAATAACTATTTGATTGATTAATTGATTTCTTGATTAATAATTAATTGATTAATTAATTAGTTAATTGCTTAAATGTTGACAGGTTCCTCGTCAGCAACGTGCACCAACCCACTCTGGGTAGTGAAGACCAGAATGCAGTTGAATCAGTTAGTTTTTTTTAAAGATCATTCATAATATTAAATTAAATTTATTGTAGTGAAGAATGTTGCATCTTTTACTGGTTATTAGGAAAAAATAAATTCCTTAAGGGATCTTTAAGGAATTTATCCCGAAATAAATTCCGGGATAAATTCCTTAAGGATGTTTTCGTTCGGAGTCACTGAAATGTACCAGTGTAAGTTGTTGTGCGTCGTTGAGTTGTTATGCGGATTTGTTGAGTGCTGGGAAGGTTTCAACAGATAGTTTTTTAAAGTACTTCTTGTCTATGCTATCTGATGATTACTGTCTGTTGAAAATAAAGTTTACGACATTAAAGGGAGCAATAAAATATTTTGTTGTTGTTGTTGAATAAAATAATTTTTACTTAGTGGAGAAGCACACCATCGATGTTTCCTGAGACAATGTTGTTGCTTGGTGAAGTTGTTTGTTGTAGTGTCAGGAGGTTTTTTGTTTTATTTTTTATGTTTGTTAAGTTTTGATGTGAAGGCACCAAATTACTCAAAATGTGGTTGGCAGGTTAAGAAAACGATAATTCTTGATAGCTATTTTATTATAATTTTATTCTAAAAAATTGAGCGTTATTTGAAAGAACTCAATAACTTCGAAAATTAGATCCGATGCCTCGTTTGACCTCTGCGTCTGTCGGAAATGTGTATTTGCTTATGTAATTTATGTAATAAACAATGCGTGCAGGTACAAAGTGATTATAAACGAAGCCGACCGAATAGCTAGCTGAGTGTGTTTTGTGTTTGAAGCAATCAAATTTCTGAACGTTTGATGTCTATTATTTTTAACTTTTTAATAGTTGGAATTTTGCATCGCTATTTCAGCGGAGAGATCACTTGAAGTTTTAATTCGAAAATTTATATAGCCCGAGTTGTCGTTGTTACAGTTACTTGTCTGATCTGAGTCAACAATGTCGGTAGTTTAGATGCAAAGTGATCAAAATGATACATCGTTCCTAATTAGATTTCTTTCACTAAAGAACTTAAATCGTAAACTAAAAGAAACATTCCTCTGTCTAGTACACATTCACACATGTTGTACAGTACACATTCACACGTGTTGTACAGTACACATTCACACCTGTTGTACAGTACACATTCACACATGTTGTACAGTACACATTCACACCTGTTGTACAGTACACATTCACACATGTTGTACAGTACACATTCACACACATCCAGGAACAAAGTGTCGACGCTAACATGTGCCAAAAACATCTACCGAACTGGTGGCATTCGTGCATTCTACAAGGGCATCACCGCCTCCTACTACGGCTTGGCGGAGACAGCCATCCATCTGGTGGTCTACGAAGAGATCAAGAGGATGATCTCAGCTTCCAGACGATTAACACTTCGAGAAGTTGACTTCGAGTTGGATCCGAGTGCATTCGAACCACCAACACCGAGTCCTTTCCGATTGTTCGTTGAGTACATGGGTGCTGGTGCTATTTCCAAGACCATCGCTACAACCATCGCCTACCCACATGGTGATCATCTGATGATGCTGATTATGATGATTGTGGATATGATAATGATGATTATGCCGAGAATGGTTGTATGATAATGATAGCTGTGTTAGTTGTGTAGACTAAGTAAGGAATTGATCATTCAAACTTATAACTAACAATTAATAAGGGGTGGTTTGTAATTGTTAAATTGTACGAAATATTTGTAGATGGATGAATAACGATTTATAATTTATTTTAAAAATTATACCGAATTAAAAATTTTTGTTCTGCAGAGGTGGCTCGCACACGTCTCAGAGAGGAAGGGGACAAGTACAAAAAGTTCTGGCAAACCCTCGGCCAGGTGCAGAAGGAGGAAGGATTTCGTGGCCTGTACAGGGGCCTAGGGGTGCAGATGGTTCGACAAATCCCCAATACCGCGATCATGATGGCAACCTACGAAGCAGTTGTCTACTTTTTCACTAATTAATTAATTAATTAATTCAGTGATGAATTTGGTTTCTCAAAATTATGAATTGGGTTAATTGTTGTTGTTGTTGTTGTTATTATGTTATGTTAATAATACTTTTTATCAACCTGAAGTATTATTGCGTTTTTAGATTGCTCATTTGACGATGTTGTATGCTTTCATTTCAGTTCAGTTTTCGGTTTCTAAATTTCAATTATGATTTCTTTATTTGTATATTGTTTATTTGGTTTTTACTTTTTGTTGATAGATTCCACTTAGATTAACGAAATTATTTTAGTCTTTTTCTATGTTTTTTGCTTATAGTATAGAGGTACATATTATTTTTTATTTGTTCATTCATTCATTCATTCATTCATTCATTCATTCATTCATTCATTCATTCATTCATTCATTCATTCATTCATTCATTCATTCATTTATTTATTTATACTTATTTATTAATTTCTATCTGCTTATATTTTTCTTATTTGACTGCTTATTAAACTACTGCTGATAAATTGTTTCATTACCATTCACAAATGGTATCATCAAAAATTGTATCAATACCGTACAAAAACGATATCATCCGACGAAGATACCACAGATACAGATACCCTCTGACAAATTGTACAAACACCCCTGTCCAACATGTGCTAATAGTATAACATACATTATTATTGGAATATACCGTACTAATACAACATACAAACGATTTGTATGTATTTGTGGTTTAATTTCTGTCATCCATCCAGCTTCGTAACTTGCCTTATTTCTTTCATTCACTTACACGTGGCATACGAAATGGTAGATATATAAGTATTGTACAATGTACATATATGGGCACAATACAAGTGTATTGTATATATATATTTGTGTGTGCGTGTGCGTGTGTGTGTATGTGTGTAATATACGTGTATATGTATTCTATCACTTAATAAATATGTGCGTATAGACTATCTTAAGCATACATACATACATACATAACATGTGTTGACGCATAATTAATTTAGCGTGAAGTAAAGTGCACTAAAGATGTGTGTCTTCTTGTCATTAGACATTTTTATTTTTTATATCATGCAGATTCAATGGATGGTTGTATCTAATATTATCGTTAGCATGAGATTGGCTATATGCTCTGTTTCTTTTCATGTTTAGTAGAGTTTTTTGTTTGTGAGAGTTATTATTTCAAAGGCAACTTATCTATTCAATGTCAATCTTGATGCGTTGGCCTTACAAACAGAAGACTGCTGCTTTTTTTTATAAAGATGATAAACTCTGTTAAGTAGTTGACTAGTAATTCTTCAAAACAATTGCAATACTTTTTATTATTATTCATTATTATTATTTTTATTATTATTGTTGTTGTTGTTGTTGTTAATATCTTATTGTTGTTGTTGCTTGCTCTTTTTATCATTATCGTTGTGCTAATTACTTCGAACTTGCCTTGTGATATTATTTATCGTGGAGAGAAAAAACATTCGATTTTAAAATTAACATGGAAATGTTAATAGTTAACTGGCCCAACATTCTGTCTCATGAGAGCCTGCTTGTGGTTTGATGAAGTTTCGTAGTGTTGTGTGTAATGTGTGAAGTTGAATTATCCTCATTTCAATTTTCGATCGAGTTTTCTATTATTATTATTATTTTTTTAAATATTTTCAAAGATTGCCAAACATAAAATTCACGACAATCTTTCATTCAAGAATAAGAACAACAATACAATGACTGTATCAAAGAAATGAGATAAATTTATGACCAATAAATAAATAAATATATATATATATATAAATGAAGTTATTAACAATTCTTTTAAAATGAACATTTTTGTCTAACTCTACTCAATTTTTCGTTCAAATTAATGGTTCTCTATTATGTGTAAAATATAAATAAAGGCATTGTACATATATGTATGTGTGTTTGTGTTTGTACATAAGCGTCGTTTGTATGAAGGTTGGAAATATTTTTCCACCATTTGCTAACAATTTACAATATATATAATTTTTTAATTTTGTGTTGTAAAAATTTTTCACAAAAAATAATCGAAATTGTTTTAAAATTTTCGCAAAAAATGTTGCGTCGTGTTATATGCGTGCTAGATCAGCGCGCGTAGATTAATTCATGATTTCCAAGTCGTCGTCGTCGTCTTCAACTTCATCGTCAACTGAAATGTCTTCTTCGTCGTTGCCATCGCTGCCATCGTTACTGCTTAAAGTTTCGCTTTTTTCGCTGTTGTCATTGGTCGATGTTTCTTGCACGTGATGACAGTCCTCGTCGTCGTCGTCATCATTGGCGTCATCGTTTGGATAGTTACTATTGAGGCCTTCCATCTGGTTTTTCTCGCTCTGAATGTTTTGGTGGGATTTTTGAACGAAAGGAGCGAAGACGAGATGTTGATAGAAAGCCGGGAACCTGGCCAAGTAACCATTCATGTGCTGTCGGTAGGTCATTGTTAGGTCGTTGCTGAGGCTTTTTTTATGTTCGTCGTTGTTGTTTGTGTTGTTGGCGATGTGATGGTTACTGTCCTCGTTGCGTTTGAAGGGGCTGAAACCGAATTGTGCTGCTCTGGCGGTTGTTTGGCTGGTTTTGTGGTTGAATAGACAATGATTGGGGTATATTTGTTGTTGGTGATGGTGGTAGTGGTGTGGCTTCTGATGGTGTTGTTGCGTGCTGTCGCTTGTCTGTTGATTCTCATGTTTCTTATAGTGTCTGGGAGAAGTTTGAAGAACGTATCAGTTAGCCACAATTTTTATTCTTCAATTTTAATTTATAAAGGTTTCATTATAAATACATGCATGGTTTCATCACAAATACAGTTCACATAATTTTTTTTCTCGACTCTGAAGAAAGAGCGATAATAATTTAAATAGCAATATAACATGGACAATATTTTCCAGACATCTCTCAAATTCATGTGAATAATTGATTTCATTGGCGCATATTTCAGCGCAATTTACAGCCAGTGTCACGCGCAAGATGATCCATTGAAACGACTACCGATTCATTGATTCATCTGTCAGTCTATTCATTCAATTCATCAGTCTACTGACCAACCAGTTTTCATCTATTAATTTATCTATCTATTCGATTACCTATATATCCATCCATCCATTTATCTATCTATCTCTTTGTTTGCCTGTCCATTTATTCACCAAACTGTCCATTCATCCGTCTGTCCATCCATCTATCCATCCATCCATCCATCCGTCCATTCATTCATTCATCCATTCATCCATCCAATGAATGAATGAAACCGACCTATCCAGATTGGTTTGTTGGCCGAAACGTCGATCGCAGAGCCTGCACCTGAATGGTTTTTCCTTGTTGTGGATGTTCCTGACGTGCCTCTGCAGGTTCGACGAGATGCTGAACCTCCTGCGACAGAACTGGCACCTGTATGGCTGCTCTCCCGTGTGCGTTCGCAGGTGGCGTGTCAGGTTGGCAGACCGTGGAAACTGCTTCAGACAGAACTTGCAGGAGTACTTGTCTTTGTTACTGGTGGTGGTGGTGCTGATGCTGCTGCTGGTAGTTGATGTTGTGCTGATGTTTTTGTTGTAAACTGCGCTCATCAACTCATCACTGTTTTCGATGCTGGAAAAAGCAGACGATGTGACGTTGCCGAAGACGTTGTTGTCGTTGATGTTATTGCTGCTGCTGCTGTTGTGGACGCTGCTGCTTCTAATGTTGCCGCTGTTGTTTGCCCTGGTGGTAGCTTCGTTGTCGTCAGCCCTAAATGGTGCACTGCGATTTGCTGCGTTAGTTAAAGCAGAGTTGTCGAATGCTGTTGAAGAGATGAAGTATTTATCAACAAATTTGTTGTTGTCCCAAGATTTGAAATACGATGATGCGTTGTTGTTGCTGTTGTTGTTTGTGTTGTTAATAGTAGTTGTAATGTTGATGTTGTTTGTGGTGATGTTGCGACTCGAGTCATTTTTGTTGGTGCTGCAACGGTTGCCGTCATCTTCAGCCTTGGTTTCACCCTCATTAAAATATTCTTCACGATGACGATGTTGGTAGTGGAACTTCAACAAGCTGTTGTAAAATGGAAATCTATCGTTTGCCACATCAGCGTCCAGGCTTTTCTTGATGTTGTCGTTGTCAGCATGTAAGTTGTAGTTAAAGTTTGAGTTGTTGTTGCTGTTGTTGCTGATGTTGTTTTTGATATTGACGTTGTTGTTATTGCTGTTGTTTTTGTTGTTGTTATTGTTATCAACAATGTTGTTGTCATAGATGTTGTTGCTGTTATTGCTCCGGGTGCTAACACGCTTGTCGATGTCGGTTGAATTTCTTGCGTAGTTTTTGTCGTAAATCGGTGTCGTTAGTGATAATGATGATGGCGATGGTGGTGATGATGATGGTGGCGGTGATGATGATGATGATCGTGGTGGCGATGATGGTGGTGATGATTCATCAAAGTTAGGATTGGTAATATCATTTTCATAATTTTTAGAGATCATAATCATCATCGAGCTTATGGGTGGCGCTGCTGACGATGGCAACAACAATGCTGCTGGTGATGATGATGATGTTGCCGATGCTGATGATGATGATAGTGATGATGATGATGATAGTGATATCAATGATGATGGTGATGATGTTGGTGACGATGATATCAATGATGATGATGATGATGGTGATATTAATGATGGTGATGATGATGATGATGACGATGATGATGATGATGATGATGGTAACGATGACGGTGGCGGTGATGATGATGATGATGTCAAAGTAGACAGATCAGATTTTTCAACGCCAATAGAATCAGCAATTAATTGTTTCGCGTCATTAATTTTTGATAAGAAGGCGCATTGATTTGTTGTTGATGTTCTTTTTTCTTGTTCGTGTTGTTGTTCGTGTTGTTGTTGTTGGTGGTGGTGTTGTAACTGTGATTGATTGTGAATTTGTGGCTGCTGTTGTTGTGCGTGTTCATTAAGACGACTTGTTGGTTCAGTGTGTAGTTGTTGCTGCTGCCCGTCTTCCTGACATTGCTGTTGCTGTTGTTGTTTTTGAAGTGATTGTTGCTGTTGTTCTTTCTGAAGTGATTTTTGCTGTTGCTGCTGCTGTGGTGATGGTTGTTGCAGCGACATTGTTTTGCAACGTTTCAGTAACGGTTGGTAATTTTGGTAGTCGTTCGTGGCTTGAACATTCGCGATGCCAGCCTCAATCTCAAAATCGTCGCTGAAGTCCTCTTCTAGCTTTTCGATTTGAAGATTATGATGATCATTTTGACTGATTGTCAAATCAAGCGGCGAGGTTGCTCTTTTGCGTCCAAACATGCTGCTGCGAAGTTCTGTGCAGGACGACATCTTTTTGGAAGCAGATCCTTCCACGGAGACTTTTTTTGAAATTGGAGATGACGACGACGATGATGAATTTGATGAAAAGTTGGTAGAAGTTGATGTGGTTGTTGTTGACGGTGGCGTGCACCCACCATTAACATCTCCGTTATTATGACATTCAAACTGGTTGGGCGACTGACAAATATCATCATTAAAAGCTTCAACTCCATTGGCTTGCTGATTAGGTGGACATGTCCAACATTCAATATTTTCGTTTGCTGATTGGCCTCCATTTTTGAAACGGTTGTTTGATTGGCTGAGAAAATTACGTGTCAGTTGCCAGAGGAAAGGATTAAATGGAGGAGGAAAAGAAAAAAAGGAAGATGGGGGCAATGGAGGAATGGAGCCATAGTAACATGTGGGGTTGGGGTTTAAAAATGGATTCAGTTCAAAATGAAGTTTCCGCACGTTTTGGTGGAGTTTCCATAGGAATGGATGTGTGGATAGATACTGGTGGTATGAATTGAAGAAGTTTTGAGAATTGACGTCACTACTGTTGTGGTTACCGTTGTTGTTGCTTATATTACTGTTGCTGTTGTTATTGTTGTTGTTACTGCTGTCATCATTGCTGTTGTGAGGCTTTGTGTTGTTTGTTGTTTGTTCTTTTTTGATGATGTTGTCAACACGAAAGGAAATATTTTGTCGTAATTTACTAACAGTTACAGGTTTGTCGATATTTTTATTGGCAGAATGTTTTCCATCGTTACTCACCTCATCAGCAGCATCGTCAACGTCATCATATTTTCCAGAATCTTCCCCGTCATCATCTCTACCATCAACTCTCATCATCTTTATATCCTCTGTTTCTCTACCGACTGCTACCTTCTGATGAAACTCGGAATTTTTGTATTGAACGAAATGGAAAGGATAGCTTGAAACAGGAGATGACTCGCTGGCTGATGATGGCACGGCATCTCTGTTACTTTGAGTGGAGAATTTTTCATTCGTTTCCATAATCCTACTTGATCGGTTGTTAGTTTTGTGTGGTGGTGACATGTGGTTTTGAAACGTGTCTGGATAGAGAGCAGTGTGGTGATTGAACGTTGGGTTAGACATGCTGTTGTTGTTGTGGTTGTAGTTGTTAATGGTGCTTCTGTTGATTTTATTGATGTTGTCGTTGTTGGGAAATCTTATGTGCTCTTCTCTACTCATATTCATGCTGCTTTGGTTATCTGTGTTGGTTCTGTAATTGACGTTGTTATTGTTGTTGCTGTCGTTGTTGTTGTTTTTGTAAATAAATGAATAATCGTCATTTGAATGTCCTTTCCTTCTGTTGTTGTTGTTGTTGTTGTTTTTATAATAAATATTGTTGTTATTATTTTTGTTGTAAATATTGTTCTTATAAAATAGTCTCTTTTCGTCAAGCAAACTGTTTACATTGTTGTTAATGTCACCATTAATGTTATTGTTGGTGCTGTCATTGTTGTTGCTGTTGTTGTTGTTTAACATGTGACTCTTAAAATCGTTGCTGAAATGTTTCATGTTGTTGAATTCTTTGTTAGTGTTGCCTAACGATCCCATCTCTCTATCGCCACTGCCGTCGAACAACTTCCCAGACATCCTCCTCTCCATGTTGTTGTTATTTTGAAGGTTGTTGTTGTTATATTTGACGTTGTTGCTGCTGCTGCTGATGTTGTTATCAGCGGATTTATCAACGCAATTAGCCATTCTCAAATACTCTATGATTGATTGGTTGTAGTTGTTGCTTCCGTATCCGCCTAAGGAAATACTTCCGATGTTGTTGGCGATATTTTTTGTGGTTTTGTTGAAATTTCCACTAATACTATTAAAATTTTTATTGAGACAACCATTAATTGATGTTACGGCTGCATTATTGTCACTACTGCTAGCGATGTTACTAATGTTACTGACGGCTAGACCGATCGATCCGTCGCAGAACCGTTTATGTTTGTTGAGCGACACAAGCGTCGAGAACGTCTGGCCGCATCTGTGGCAGTCGATCTGCTGCCGGCAGTCGGCGTGCATCCGTTTGTGGCGGCAGAGGTTGCTGAATTGTGTGTACGACCGGCAGCAGACCTTGCACTGGAAGGGTTTGACGCTCTTGTGGATGTGTTGGTGCTGCTTCAAGCCACTCGACGTCGCGAAGTTTTTCCCGCAGTCGCTGCAGGAGAAGTAGCGATGCATACTTCGTGCTCTTTCGATAATTAAACTTTTGACGGTCTGCAATTTTTTATGGTAATAAAATTTTGAAACTTGCTGCAACGAACACGAACTAAAAATTTTAAATTTAAACCGATTAATGAAATTATAAATTGGTCGAATGTTAATTAAGAAGATTATTAATTAATTTTTGATTAAAAACTTGTAGTCGCAAATTTGAACTGCATCTACACAGGCGTTGATTTAAAAATAAAATATTAAATGACAACCTACCCTCGAGTTTGTGATTTCAACTTGACTTGAAGTTCAGAAGTTATTATTTTAAATATATCTAACTATGATAAAATTCAAATAGCTCATTGTTTTGAAAATATATAATCAGTTGGATGGAGCATGCTATTTTTGGTTCATTGGTATAATCAAAATTTTGTTAACTGTGAACCAATGAAATATCAAAAAGTGCTTAAATATTAATCTTGCATCATCATCATCATCATCATATCATCCTCATCATCTAAAGCAGGCACGATGGCTTCTATTTATAGACGGCCTGAGGCCAGGAGCAGCCAATCAATCAGCGAATCATCTTCCTGACGAACGTTAGGCCCCGCCCAATCCGTGATGTCACTATTAGTGTTGTGTTGTGAGGCTGTTGTAAGTCTCTGTTTGTGCTGTTGTTTGCAGTTGAAATACTTTCATAGTGCTGCTGAAGAAGTGTTGATGTTTCTTTTGAGTTTTTTTAAATGTTTATGTAAGAAAAGTTGTTGATGTCATTGCAGATGTTTGACATGTGTTAGTGTCATTGATGTTGTCGTTGCTGTCTTAGTTATGTGACTGTTAAACGTTAATATTCACATGCTTGCATTGTTCTATTCTCCGCTCGTTAGCTTTTCTTTTATGTTTATAGATACATAGTATACAAAGACATACATGTAAGCTTTTACACTCGTAAACGAACTTGCATTCACACAAACATTGGCATCTAACTTGTACACGCACATACATACATACATACATACACACACATAAATGTATCAGTATACGCAAATTTACACATTCACACGCACACACTCACAGACACACACACAAATAAACTACACTCACACACACGCACAAATAAACTGCACAACACAAATGAACTACACACACACGCACACACACAAATGAACTAGTCGCGTGCACAACCACATTCAAGAAAAACAGCTATATTAATACTAATTGCAGATTGATTTCCCATCAAACGGTATCTCAAAGGTGATTGGTCGATGCGAAATATTAGGCTCCTCCTATTATTTTTAAATGGATTGATTGAGATTGGCGCATTTGTGAAAAATGACGAAGATGGCAACTACGTTTGAAGAGGACGATGATGATGAAGAAGAAGATGATGGAGATGATGATGATGAGGAAGAAGATGATTAAGAAAAAGATGAAGATGATGAAGATGATGAGGAGGTTGTTGGTAAAAGATAACAAACGTGGAAACACGAATAACAATCACAAAAATGAACATTGATAACAAATTTCATGTATAACAATAATTTATTTAAAAAAAATTAAAATAAAATTGTAGATCAAAAAACACGAACACACGTTCGCAGCCAGACATTTGCACGTACATACGCACAAATACAATACTGTACACATACATATTCATACACGTACATACTCACACACATACACACACGTGTACTTTTTTGGCGGGAAAACTTCTGCTTTACGTCACGATAATGCAAAGGATCGTGTTATCGATGATTCAGTTGTACAAAAGTATTCTGAAAGATATTGTATGTCTGTCCGTAAGTACCTCTGTACATGTTTGTAGGTATGTTTGTATGTGTGCTTGTGTGTTTGTGTGTACTTTTTATACTTTTGTATGTACATTTGTATGTATGGTTGTGTGTGGGTACTTTTACGCGTTTGTATGTAGTTTTAATACGCAATTCTTTTTTTATTGTATACGTACATTCACTTCAATACAAGTTGCATCGAAATATTTATTAAACATTTTCAAGATCGCACGCACGCACGCACGCACGCATGGGCTGGTTAGCAGCCTTACGTAGTTCCAACATCACGCAACACAACAAGATGCAAAGCGTAGTTGCCTATTGGGAGCTTGATACTTATAAACTCAGGTACTTAGGACTAGATACATACAGTATAAAACATATCTTCTCACAACATAAAAACATATTATACATACAACACACAAATTATATATAAATATATTTATATGTATATATATATATACATTATGCGCATACGCACACATACATACAATGCTATACATTCACATGCGTTCGTTGTTAGTTCTTGATAAGGTTGTTAGAATAGACAGATGGATGGGAGTTTATCAGCAGGAGCCAATTTTTATCTTCTATCAATATTAGCTATAATGTTTGATTTTACTCTAATACAACATACGTACAAAGTGTACGCGCTCTTGAGCGTGTGGGCATATGTGCATATTTGTGTATGTGTGTGTGTTTATTTGTGTGTATGTTTGTGTATGTGTGTGTGTTTGTTTGTGTGTTTGTTTGTGTATGTGTGTGTGTATGTGTTTGTTTGTGTTTGTTTGTGTATGTGTGTGTGTATGTGTGTGTGCGTGTGTTTGTGTGTGTGTGTTTTTGTGTGCATGTAGTCATCCAATTTCACTTCCGTTTGTAGAGTGCATTTGAAAGCATTTTAAACATATAGATTTATTAGATAATCAATGTATAGTATATGATCGTATATATTATATAGACTTGTGTATATAATACTATACAAATGTATGATCATATATATTGATAATTATATAAATATATACACGCATATTAAGAAACAAACATGTTACAAACAAATAAACAAACAAACAAACAAACCAGGAAACAAACAAGACAAAAACCGCTTGAGTCATTCACGAATAAAAACAATGATTACATGACAGCAGTAAAATTTTGGTTGACGTTGATGATGATGTCACTGATGACGTAGAAGATGACGAAGAAGATGATGCTAATGTTGAAGATGATGATGATGGCAATAGGATAGATAATGATGTTGGAGCTGATGTTGAGGACCATGAGGAATATGTTGGTGACTAAGCGGATGATGATTATGATGATGACTTTGATGATGATGATTATGATTAGTATGATCTATGTTGCTATATATCAGCAGTTAATTGTTTCATCTATACAAAGTTAAACAAAACAAACACATAATGGAGAACTTATTAAGTAAGTAAAAACATAGAATCGAACAAATAAGTGAACGAACGAATGAATGAACAAACAAACAAACGAGCGAACGAATGAACGAATGAACGAACGAACGAATGAATGAATGAATAAGATGATTAATGAACCGATGAATATTGGATGAATAAAAAGATGGAATGGTGGATAAATAAAGGGCAAGAGGCAGGATGGCAATTGAATGTAGATATTCAATTACTCCTTCCATGATAAGCAACTACAGTACCTAGATAAGGGTTTAAGTACCATAACTGTTTATTTCAACGTGATTACGTATCCTTGTATTGTATGTACGTGAAACACAGGTTGTGTACGTGAATTAACGTACTAATTCGTTCTCTACTACTTTCTCTCTCTCTCTCTCTCTCTCTCTCTCTCTCTCTCTTTCTCATCACACACACACACACATCTTCACACATCTTCACACACACGTTTGTTTTCCTAACACGCAATTGGAAAATGTGTTTCATCAAAATTATCTTTGATATCTTTTACCTTAGAGACACACATTATGTAAACTCTCATACGCTAGTTGTGCTTGTTAGGTACATTCATACATACATACATACATGCATGCCTACATACATCTTTATTTAGATGTATATATATATTTATTTACCAAATAAATGACTGGAAAAAAAAATACATGCATGCATCCATACATACATGCATACATACATACGCATTTACAGAATCAGCATTTAAAGACTTTTTAAAGGACAAAATAAATTTACAGATTTTGCATTCATAGTCTGCCGTCTGATACCTTAGAATCTTTTTTAAATCTTCGCGATGGCCTTTTGGCAATGTATCCACGGTTGAATGCTGACGCGTGTGCATTGTGCATGCATGCATGTATATGACAACAGACACAAGACATTTAACTCTAACTCCAACAATAAATGTTAATTAAAAACAAAACCATAATAATATTCATAGTACTAATACTACTAATGCTGCTGCTGCTGCTACTGTTGTTGCTGCTGCTGCTACAACAAATAATACTACTTCTGCTGCTATGGTAGCAACAACCTCCGCCACCGATACAACAATTACTGCTACTACACTTACTACAACATCAACAATTGCTGCAACTGCCATTATTACAACAATGTTGTAATAATTATCATTAGTGTTATTATTATTATTATTATTGTTACTACTACTATCAGGAAAACGGTAGTGAATGTTGACGTTGCAGGCTGTCCTAGTATCCTTGCTATCGTTCAGTGCAATGATAAACACATCACATCATATCAAGACGTTTAACAGCTGTCGAAATTAAGATGGATGGATGTGTGTGCGTGTGCGCGTTTGTATGTGTGTTTGTATGTATTTGTGTGTGTGTGTGTATGTGATGTTGTGAGGTTTTTTTTCTGTAGTCACGTGATTGAACGTATACATACGTACGTATATGTGTACATATGTATGTTTATTTTAATTTTTCCTGTATGTGTTTGTGTGTGCGCACGCGCGTGTATGTGATAGCGTTTATAATTGAGCGATAATGTGATTGTATTGAAATACTTAAGGTGTGTGAGTGTGTGTGTGAAATTAATTGTTTGTGGATGAACACGTAAGCATTGTTTTGAGATTCTACGTTTATTTATTTATTTATTTAGCGTTTAATTTCTTTGGTGTATCTATGTATGTATGGGAAGTCAATTCTTAAAATAATTGCAAGACAAGATAATCTTCATGATGGTGATATAAAAATGATGATAACATTATCAGAATACTGATAACGATATGGTGATGATGGTGATATTAAAATGATAATGA